AACGATAATTATATTTTTATATTCTTGCCCTTTAAGGATAAAAATGCAAGGTTCGAATTATGTGTCCGGGAGTGTTCATAGCACTGTCCCTAATTTAGTATGCAAACAAAAACAAACATGCCCAAAACTGGCTGTCCTTTTTGTCCCATAATTTATATGCGCAATTGAAAGGGAGACAAAAAGTGTTATCACTACACAATATTGTTATCGCTGCGACCGTGCACAGATTCACTAACACTAACTCGGCGTTTCTGCCCACATCTGCCCACAATTTTGGGCAGAAACGCCGAATACGGAATTTGGTTAATGCCATACTTATTACAAATATCGATGTAATTTTTTTTTTACACGAAAAGGAGGCATCTCCATACAATGTCTACTCACCTTGCAATCCTGTGGATTTTCATTACTATGGATTCGATTTCTATGAAGATAGGTTGAAATGCATACTATCTAATGATTTTTTGTATCGATTTTCAAGTGATTCGATTCAGTGGAAAGGCAAATCGAATCGTCCAGAGAATAAAGCAATAAACATTTTGTAGTAGTATTACTAAATTTAAACAAAACTCGATTTACAACAAATATTTATAGATTTTCATTTAACAAATATTGCGTTGTAAATAGTTTTTGCCCTCCATTTCGGGCAGTTTAACCGATTTAACAATACATCATGTGTCATTCACATCAGCTCGTCATCTGTACCTTAAAAACATTTTTAATCACAACAAATCCTAAGGTTCCAATGAGCGCGCGACTTCGTCGTCCTATCGTCGTCGTATATGTATATTGTATACGTATGCATATATTCATATCAGTTTTTAAGATGGAAGTCTCTCGTTATATTTGTCTTTTTCTCGCACATTAAAATTACAGATACTGTTCTTATTAAACGCTCTGAATTCGCTATACAGGTACAAGACGCATACGAGGAGGTGGAGGAGCAACGCGCGGTGGCGGCGCAGTGGAAGCGCAAACTGCAGAAACTCACCAACGACATGGCCGATTTGAGATCACTACTTGATGAACAGGTAACACTTTGTTACGGTTTAGTTACAGGGTACGAATTTATTATGTAATATTTTTCATTGCGTAACGAAAACATTCCAACAATATATAAGGATTAAATTGCAAGGCTTTACATTGAAAATTTTTTTTTTTTGAAGCATCCTACTAGAAGCCTGGAATGTAATTAGAAGTTGAAACATCAAAATGTTTTACAAAAATAACGTTTTATTAAACAATGTTAAAAAACAGTCTTAAATTATTTAACATGTTGATGTTTTTGTCAAATGATCAGATATTTTTATCACTCAATAACCTTACTTAGAAAATCCCCTAAACATTCCTGACACAAAACATTTCACAACTTCGTCATTTTCTTACAGACATGCCGTAATAACTTATTAGAGAAGCGCCAGCGCAAGTTCGACGCAGAGTTACATGGAGCTCAGGAGGAACTGAAGCGTGAGCGAACTGCCAAAGAACGGCTTTCTCGCGAAAGAGACCAGGCTCATGCTGAAAAATATGCCATCGAACAAAGTCTTTCTGTAAGTAATGTAGGCAGTGAGTAAAATGTTTAACATGCCTGTCTCCTACTAAAGAAAGCAGAGATCATGAACCTTCTAGTAGTATAAATCTCTTCATACTTGCAGATTCATTTTTAGTATGTAACTAAGAAAGTTTAAACTGGCTTTATTTTAAGGCCATTCCCAATCTGATCGAGATTACAGTACAGTGCTTATATTTTCTCAATGTTCCTCGGCTATTATCGGATTTCCGATTGCTCGCGAGTATTAATTTCCAAGCCCATTTATTATTAAATTTTAAATCTATAATAATTTTAATTTTGAACAACGTACTTTATTGTTGTTTTGATTACCATGTGAACTATATACAGCTGTAAAACTATTTCCCTATTTTTAATAATATTTACTCCGTGTCAATAAGCAAGCAACAAAAATGTAAAGTATATAAAGTGTGTTTTTTTTATATAACTAATAATGAATATTTTTCCGATTATTAATCATTTCAATTCAGTTCGTATCTGAACTTATTTCTTCATCTGACATAGCTATGTTAGTGTGTAGTAGATCGAACAGGTATTTACTATAAAATTGTATTTAATATAATAGTAAATAATAAAAATGATAATTATTATAATAAATAAAAAATAATAGCCACTCTGTATACTTCCAAATCGACTGAAAGCGTCCGATCTTTACCAAAGGCGAATGGCAACTAAATAAAACCCAACGACAGCTGAAACACGAAGTTTGCCGAAGGACATTGAAAAAATAGAAGCTCTGTACATCGACGTCTATCAAACGTTGCCATAGAGATCATAAAGTTTTTAACGTTGGAAGTAAATTTGTAAACAGGAGGCCCGTCTCGAGCTAGAGCTCAAAGAAGAACGCCTGGCTGCAGCGACGCGCGAACTGGAGGAACGCGGCGGCGGCGGCGACGAGGTGACGGCGCTGCGAAGAGCCAAGACAGAGCTTGAGAGGCGGGTCAGGGACCAGGAAGAGGAACTTGACGATCTTGCTGGACAGATACAGGTGAGAAAACCCACAAAAGTAAGAATTGTCGTTAGGTTACTTCGTATTGTGGCCAACAGAGGCGCTGTACAAAGTTGTCACATATTTGACGCGGTCTAGCAACAACTGTCCGTCCCTAATTATTGATAATTTAAAATACTATTTCCATTTTCTGTTTAACGTAATAGATTTTTTGTTTTAAGAAATGAAAGTAAACCTTACCGATGTAATGTGGTCGACTTTTTTTGGAGAGCGTTAACAGGCGTTAATCGTTCGTCCTCACCGGCTTTCAGCCAATGCTGTTATAATATTAATCATTTCCATAAGTCCCTGTTGAAAATTTGGACTTGTAAAACCAGGGAAAATTTTTGTATTTTTAAATTTTTTTTAAACAAAAATGCAAACTTGCTCGAAATATTGTATCCGGGAGTGTATATTATTTGTTCTTCTTTACATGATTGGCTTATATGCTGTCGTCGCTTGATCATATGGACTTTTTTAAACTATTGTTTCTATTCTCAGTTGCTGGAGAGCTCAAAACTGCGCCTCGAAATGCTATTGGAGCAACAACGCAAGGAGGCTCGTCTTGAAGCCGCCGCCAGAGATGACGAGATGGAGGAAACCAGAGCCAATGCTTCTAAGAAACTGAAAAGTGAGTCGTTTTCAACAATGTCCAGAATTTTTTTTTTACCATTTGGTCGTTAATATTTTTAAATAAATAAACTACTGTAATATGACCTAATATAAGTTGGAAAAAAAATCGATTAATAAAAATGGGATTAAAAGTTTTTAATTTTGAACTAAAGTACTAACGTCGAACAACAACGAAACATCGCATAAATAAAATAATATTCATTTTGTTATAATTGTTAATACAAAGATCGAACACTTAGAAAAAAATCCTGCGATCCGAGCTGACGTCTGAAGCCACGGAACGAACCAGCGAACTTCACGATTCTATGTGCTTGTTGTCGGATCGTTGTATTTGGTTTTTTAACGACTTTTTTAGCCGTAGTGCCATCTATGACAAATCTATGAAAGTATTTCGCCACCCAGTTAGCTAACTTTGCAGCTACCAGCCCTGGCTAGAGATGTCGTTCTTAACTGTATTCGACACTTTTTACTTCCTAGGGTAGGTTAAGGTTAAAGGATATACTTTACTCCCTCTACGTTAGGCTATATTGACGTACTTTTAGAGCATGAGAAGTGAAATAGCAGATTGTACAACAAGTGCATAAAATGCGTCATTTTAACCGAGACGCTTATATCCACCCGAGCCGCAGGCAAGAGTGGATACTTAAGTTGAAGATAAGATAAGAAGATTTAATGTGATGTTTTTTTATGCACTAGAGCATATAATCCTATTTTATGCACTACAGCATAAAATCCTATTTTATGCACTACAGCATATAATCCTATTTCATGCAGCTACACCCAGCATAAATACGAACTTTAAGAGCATGAGAAGTGAAAAATTATTTTTTTCTTACAGTTTTGGAAAGTCAACTGGAAAGCGAGCACGCCGAGCGCTCGCTGCTGCTGCGCGAACGGCACGAGCTTGAGAGACGCCTCGCCGCGTTGGAGGAAACCGCCAGGGCTGAGAACCACGACACGCAACAGCTGGTCACACGCCTCAAGAGGTATCTGTTGCTCCCAAGATGTTACATCGTATAATTAAGTTTTATTGAATGTCAGAATGTCTCACCACCATGATATTCAATTATTTTTTGTGAAGTTATTCCACTAGTTTGATTTTTAAACGAAGATCGAATACTAACAAAAAATTTCACTCAGATCCGGTTGGAATCGAACCAACGTCTCCCAGCCAATCGCGCCAGACGCTATGCCAACTAATCTTATTTTAAACAGTTTGGCAGTGTTGGAAAAATTCTTTCTTTATAAAGTTATTTGAAAATTTTTAATTCAAAAAAAGAATAATGTGCCTGACAACCATATCTATTTTTGGTCTCAAACTAAGGAATTCCCTGTATTATGAGTACCAGAGGAACGGAATTTTACCCCGGGGCACTACCCAGAAGAACGGTGACCATGCTTGGCTGACACACAGAGGTCCTGGATTCGATTCCCGTACCGGGAAAAATATTTGTACGGCGTACATTTATTTCTTTCGTGAGTTTAGGTGTAGCTTGTGGTGTCTATGTGTGTGTCCATGGCACCTGCGATACATGGTCACCTTAGTGCGGGCCTTAGAGTGCGTGCGTTATTATTTAGATACAGATTAGGCTCCTGTCTCTCACAACGATATGCTAATCGTACCGTTAAGTTCTGTTCCATTACTATGAAAAAAATATTATGAGAGAAAATAAACAAATATTTTATTTTTATTATTATTTGAAAAAGAAAAAACCATTTCCAAAATTAGTCGTACCAGGAATTGACCCCGAGACCTCCTCAGCCATCGCCTGTAGTGTAAACTGTTAGGCCACCGAGGTCATCGAACAAACACCTGCATATCTGTCATTACAATAACTTGCTATTTCTTTTCAGGGATCTGAAGAGATACCGTGCCCTGTTACGCGACGCGCAAACCATGCTCGAACAGAAGGAGAAGGAAGGCGGTGGCAAGGCACAGATCAGACAACTTAAAAATCAAGTAACTACATATTTTCATTACTCAACAGAAAATAAAAAAGGTGTTACATACAGACATGACAAAACTATAAAGGACTCTTAGTTGGACTACTTTTCTTTTTCAGATGTAAATAATTACATTAAAATTTATTTTATTGAATTATTATTTTTTTGTTGTGTTAATATTGTCTACATGTATTTATTAGTATTTATTATGTAGTGTATTTATGAACATATTCTTCGGTTGCACCTCTTTTGCGTATCCCAATTTTCTAGCAATAAGGTCGCCTGTTGCACAATAACTTATTATTTTTTTACTAAGGGTCTATTGTTGTTCTGTGTTTATATGCAACGAAAAATATTATATTCATTTCATTATCGAATAATCAGGTATTTAATATTTACCGATACAAAGATCGCCAGATTTATGACGCGAATGTGGATGAAAGGGTTTTAAGAGGATGTCCCAGAAGGACTTACATTGACCAGATCAGTGATGTTCTCAGAAAAGCTGGGGTCCGAAGTGACAAGAATAAAAGAAGTTGTATGAAAAGGGTAGTTGATGTACTTGAGGCTCAAAAGTTGTATCACGATAGAGTAAGGTGCCGTTCCGTGGACTTTGCCTGCCTCGCCTGTCGGACTAGGGCCTGAGCTTATGTATGTACAAAGATCGTACAAATTGCAAAAAAATCCCTTCAATCCGATTGGACTCGAACCAGTATCTGTTGCCTCAACGTGGCTACCGCTCTTACCAGAGCTACGAATCGAGCCATCTGATGTGCTTATTGTGCGGACCTTTGTATTGTATTTAAACGGATTTTTTGCTGGATGTTAATAAGCAAAATTTTATAAATTACTTTGTGCATCAACAAAATCCACAAAATCAATTTGTGTTTGAAGGTGGAAGACCTAGAGTTAGCAGTGCGAGCAGCAGTGAAAGCGAAGCAAACCGCCGAGTCCGAAGCAGCCGAAGCAACAGCCGCTCTGGAAGAAGCAACTAGAGCCAGAAACGACGCGGCTGACAGAGCCTTGATGGCAACTAGAGAGGCCGCTGCTGCGCGGGCGCAGCTTGACGACGCCGAGGAGGAAGCTGCTGAGGTTTGTATTATTTAATAAATAATTGTTGCAGAGTGACAGATAGGAAGTAAAGAGCATCGAGTGCTTAGGTTTTCGCGATTGTTACACATAGGAAGTGAAACTCTAGTATTATTTAAATCGCGTTTAAATATTCGTTTTTTTTTTCAAACAAACCAACGTTTATTTTTTTATGATAGCAAGTGACGAGACGAATAAGTCGTGCGCCTGATGGTAAGCGACACACCTGTCCCTAACAGTTGCAGTGCCACTCAGAGCTTGAAATCACAAAGGACTAAGGGGCACTGCCAGTGCGCCTGTCAACTTGAGACATAGGTTAATAAGTCTCGTATGCTTGTAATTTCACCAGCTGATGAAATGATAAAGTCATCGACCAGTTATGTTTAATATTAATGCAAACCATCCAATTTTTCACTATACTTACAAAAGTTATTAATTAATTAATTTGTTTTTAAATTTTCCATACAAACATTCCAATTAAAACTACTACTGTAAAACATACAAATTATTTTAAAGATACCTAATTTTATGTAATTATTTTTAAATTTTTAATAAACTTGCTTTAATTATTGTAATGCAATTCACCAGACTTAGTAATTTTTATTTAGCTATAAGAATGAATAATGTCAGTACAGAGTACTAAAAAAACCGACCTCAAAAGTCGTTCATCCGTTAGTTTGTCACCCTTAGAGGTGGAATATTTTGAGAGGTGGACCACTACTGAGGTACCACCCTCTTTCCATCCAACAAAAAAAGAATCATCAAAATCGTTTCACAAATGGTACAAAAAACACACAGTCGAATTGAGAACCTCCTCCTTTTTTTGAAGTCGGTTAAAAAGGACCGCTTTGAATGTTAGCTGGTTCAAATATCCGGACCATAACACTGGCAGCATATCCGCGCTGAATGGCCAACGACATTTGTTCTACCAAGTAACATCCAGAGCATGGATCACAGCCTCATTATTGTAATTGGTGTGTCAGTTACATCGAGTACATAACCAGAAATAGAGACGAAATGTCATTTAATTTGTTTAAAAACTATTTTGCCAAATTATTACGGTAACTGCGCTCCGATTGGCCAGCCAGAATTCGAAACAATTGACGCGTGTCGACAATACGACCAGTTTAACTTGAGCTTTGCTATAATGGACGAAAATTGAAAAATTACGTATTTAATATTTAATTACCGATGAAATGTGATATCGTTTGTTTTGTAATTAGATGTTTTGCTGTTTTTCCCAGGAACAGTCCCCATTATTAGAGATATTATCTTTATTACAATAAATACAGAATATTTTTGGAATATACGGAGATGTACACAGGTTAGTTGTTGGCGCTGTACAATTTCAGTTTTCTAATTTGTGATTTCATCGCAAACGAGAGTTGATATTTAAAAGTGATATAATGTCCATTCACCTGACGAGTTGCCCTTGGGATGGATGGCCCTTATTTCGTCTCTATTTCTGGTTATATACTGGATGGTTAATAGCAAAAAAATAAATTAAAAATAAATAAATAACTCGACAATTACTGTACTTACTATTGTTGATGTTTCGTTTTTGTGTTTATTAGCGGTCGGTAAATATGATCATATCATATGATTTAGATAGTTGTTTAGTGGAAAATGTATTTCCTCCACAGTTACTGAAGAAATATCGCGCAAGCACAAGTTCCCTATGCGCGGCCCAGGCAGAAGCTCGCGAGGCGGCTTCCCGAGCTGATGCTGCACTCGAAGAGGCACGCGCAGCCAAGGACAAACTGGCCGAGCTCACGGCCAGACTGGCGCACGCTGAAGCAGGTCACTCGCAGGGACACGCCGAGGCCGAACGCAGATTGGAGCTGCGCAATAAGGTAAAACTGCCTCCGTGGCCGAACGGTTACCCTGCCACTGCCACGCAGAGGTCCCAGGTTCGATTCCCGGGCCGGAAGAAATATTTGTATGGCCTACATTTATTTGACTCATGATAAACTCATAGTTGTAATTGGTGGTTGTCTATGTGTGTGTCCATGGCACCCGCGACACAGGGTTTCCCTATTGCTGGGCTATGTTGAGCGTGTGCGTTATTATTATTATTATAAATAAATCACTCTTTTTAATTTTTGTTATGGTGGTAAGCGACACGCCTGTCCATGACAATTGCAGTGCCTCCCAGAGCTTTAAATCACAAAGATCTGAGGGGCACTTTTACTGCGCCCGTCACCCTGAGACAACAAGTTGACAAGTCCCATGTGCCTGTAATTTCACCAACACCCTTACCCTTCAAAACCGGAACGCAATAATATGAGCATTACTGCTTGGCGGCAGAGATAGGTAAGGTCGCAGTACTTCCCTGAACGAATTCTTTCAGGAGCTCTACTGTTACTAAAATTCAACTACATATTATATAGACGATTTAATATACTGCACTATATTGTCGTCTTAGGATGAAATTTATAAATAGAACTTAACTTCGACTAAGCAAAGATTGCGAGCTAAGCGCCGTAAGTTTAAGCAAGAAATTAAATCAAACTTTGGGTTTCCTTTTTATTTGTAAGTCAATGGTTTCCTTCATAATATTCTCAATCGAAAAAAAAAACTACTGCCTGCTAATCAGAATCAGTGTGGCAAGTTATTTTTTCTTTTAGTTGAGTAGTTAGACATTGGATACGTATTTTCAGGAACTGGAATCCAGTCTAGAACTAGAGGCGACAGCGCGTGCCCGCCTCGAAGGGCAACTATCGCGATTGCGCGAAGCCCATGAACAGCTGGCGTCGGAGCTGGCCACTGCCAGGCAGAAGGAGCAACATGCAGCAGACGAGCTCAGGAAGCTAACGCGACAGCTCAGGTATACTGCCCTTATCAATTATTTGTCATTTCATAGGTTTCTCACAGACAAGTAAGCAGTTAAAACCGAACCATATATAATGTAATGTACTTCGTTTGTTTTGTTATATTGTAAAAATTATTTGCATGCAACCTCTCTTAATTGAACTAAATGAAATATAGTATATTGTAATGCCCTAACAGGGTTCATCAACCTACAGTCACTGTGATATTTTTTAAGATCAATTTACAATAGTTGTACACACGCCAGCACATCAAGCTACATATTGACGTATCTTGTTCCGTTGCACTGGAGGCGATTTTGGAACAAAAATGTGTAGTCTGATGTGCCGCTGCCCGTACATGTATAGCAATAAATAAATTATTTAATTGAAAAAATAAATGGCACCCTTCATGAAAGAATGACGTAAGTGGAGTTACGCCAAACATGTTTATTGCTCCATTAGATACAGAAAATATAACCTACATCCGCTCCAGTTTTTAAACTCTATCTACAATATTAGTCGATAGAGTTACAAGAATTGGAGAGGATGTGGGTTATATTTTTCTGTATCTAATGGAGCAATAAACGTTTGTGACTCAACTCCACTTATGCCATTCTTCCATGAGGGGTGCGAATAAAAATAAAGATCTGCAACAAGCACATAGATAAATTGAAAAGGTCTGCTAACGCCTTCCGTAGCTCAGTTCGGAGAGCGATAGCCCCAGCTACGAGCTACGGAACGAACCAGCAGACCTTACGAATTTATCTGTGCTTGTTGTAGATCTTTTTTTTAACCAACATCAAAAAAAGGAGGAGTTTCTCAATTCGACTGTATGTTTTTTTGTATGTATGTTACGCGATATTTTTTTTGTTGGAAAGAGGGTACCTCAGAAGTGGTCCCATTTAAATTTGAAGAAAATATTCCACCTCTAAGAATGGCAAACTAGGGAATGAATTTTCCCGGTTTCACGCCACTTCCGGTAACCGATTTGAATAAAACTTGGCAAATGGATGTAATTCCGTGAGTTTTTGAGGTCGGTTTTTTTTATAAAAAACGTATTATATTAACATACAAAATGTCTTTCCACAGAGAACTAAAAGAAGAGAACTCCAATCTAAACGCGAAGCTTAACGAGGCGAGTCGCGCGAAATGTGCAGCAGAGGCAGCTGCAGCCGCTGCGGCGTCGGAGGCAGCGGCCGCGAGAGACGAGGCACGGCTGGCCGCACGTCGCGCCACGGCGCTGCAGGAAGCCATTGCTGGAGACCTGTCTAGCCCGGGAGACTCAAGGGATACCGATAGGTAAGTTCAACATGTTAGTGATTATCGAGTCCTTAGGTTTTCGCGATTGTTACACATAGGAAATGAAACTATTTTTTCAGATTCAAATGGCGTACATTTGTTTTTTCAAACAAACCAACGTTTCGGGCCCTTTACGGGTCCCATGATCACGGTTGACTGACGTGGTAAAATCCACCACCAGTTATGTCTAATATTAATGCAAACCATCATCTTTTGCCACTATAGTTACAAAAGTTATTAATTAAATACCTTTTTTTACGCTATTTACGCGAAATCTGTTTTGCAAGTTATTTTATTTTTATGTTAAAATATATTTTAATTAATAATTTGATATTTGCGTTGCAGCGACAATGACAGCTACAGCTCGGACGAGTCGATCGGTACATTTTTGGCTAATCACAAGTTGAGCCCGTCGGTCCCCTCGCGTGCCTCTATGAACCTCGATTCTCAGAAGTAAGTACTATTATAGAGTATTAATTAGATAATATAGACAAGGATTTGTTATAATATTCCACGGAATTAAATGTCAATGTCATTCTTGACAACCCAAATAAAGAATTTTCTGAGAAAAACTTCTGTTTTATAGCCATCAAAATTCTTGATCTGGGTTGCACCTGATTACAAATTAAAACTAACCAATCTTAATTATTAATAAATAAATATTAGACAACATCACATACTTTGCTCTGATCTCAAAGTAAGACACTACAGCACTTGTTTTTTGGAAATCGGAAACAACGTAAGTACAATAAACACCCAGACCCGACACAACACAGAAAAGTTCGTTTTTGTTTACATTGCCCCGGCTGGGGATCGAACCCGGAACCTCATTATTGGCGATGCTCTGAAAACGGGTGTTTTGCACACCACTCGACCACGGAGGTCGTCGGTTAATACAAAGATCGAACATAAAGAAAAATTGCTTCCATCTGACTCAAACCTGCGTCTGCATGCCAAACTAGAGTCACCGCTGTACCAACTGAGCTATGCTATAGATCGATTCAGCAGACCTTACGAAGTATTTACAGATTTTTTGTATTTTTTTTACTTTTATCGCTGTAAGCTAAACTTCGGTAACTCAAACTACCTAAATATTCTAGAGGCTTACACATTATAGCGGGCCGCACTGCACCACATCGTATAATAATCTTCTTAAATCACTTTTGTACATTGTATGTATAAAATATAGATATATCTACAATGTCTTTTATAATCATTACATCTGTCTGTCTGATCACGATAAACTCAAAAACTACATGGCCTGAGGGCTAGGGAGGGGCCACACTAAGCGTACTGTCAGATAGAAGGAATTTTTCTTTATCTTTGTGTTAATAATGTATAATAAACTAAGATATATGTATAGATATGTATAATAAAAAAGTAATTTCATAAAAAATAAGTGAACATCCTGACATTCAATAAAAATCAATAAACAACCATATTTTCTAGTTTAGTTATTATTAGTCTGTCAGTCTACTTCATGGGACAATTAGTTGCCCTGCCCTGTCTGCCGTCTACTAACTAAAAAGTGACAAATAGTTAAATAACCCTTTTAAATAGCAGAAAATAGAGCACAAAATTATTTTTTTAAAACAGTAAAAATTTGTTAATGTGTTCGACTTATCGGAACTTACCCTAACGACGGATAGCTGAAAATTAAATATCTAAAAAAATATTTTATCTATTCAATAAAAATGTATCATAAAAAATTTCAATATTCTGAAAACGAGGATATTTTTTGTGTTTTGGGTTTGTGTATCTCAAAAAGTTATTTTGTCACTTAGCCGCGTTTTAATTATTGGACGGCAGTAATGGAGTAATTTCATAAAAAGTAAATGAACATCATGATACTCAATAAAAACCAATAAACAACCATACTTTCTAGTTTAGTTATTATTAATCTGTCAGTCTACTTCATGGGGCAATTAATTGCCCTGCCCTATGCAGTATATTAATAAATATTTTGTTTTAGGTCGCAAACACCTGAAGGTCGTGCCAGCCGCCTAAGCGCAGGATCGGGCAAGCAACTAAGTCCGACTAAAGAGTCGTTCGCATAACACGCGGCGGGCGGCGGGCTGCTCACAAGCGCCATACCCGCCATCTGCGCCGTGTTCTGCTCCCGCCAGAGGCACGACTCTGCCCACGTCGTGCTCGAGTGAAATCAATAAAACGTCGAAGTGACAGCTGTGAGACGCGGGAAATTCAAAAATTGTTAAAGGATTCCAACAACAGATGGCGTTTGTTAATGTCGGTATGTGAACACGTTCCGTTATCGACAGAACCGTTGATGTTAATTTAAGTGAAGTGTTTAGCTAAGGATCTGAAGATTTTAGGAAAGAGAAAAGATAGCTGTCAATGTAGTGGCGTTTTGGACTGTAAGTGTGTAAGAATAAAGACCGCTGTTGGAATTTTCATTGCTATTGTAACCTTGTATACTCTCCAATGTATCTTGTCACACTCGCACGTGAATTTAAATTGTGAGCGAGCTATGTTATACACTGCTTCAATACGAACAAAACTGTGAATCGACTGTAGTCTTCTAATAAAATAAATTCGTACGAATATTAGAATATTTACACAAATTTTCAATTTTATAATGATGGACTTCAGCTTTTATAAATTTATAAGAGGTTGCGAAAACACGTTTGATAAATAAAAAAAAAACAATATTTGAAAGCAATATTCGAATAAGAGATGGCGCTAGTATCGCAAGCCAAGTACTGTGAGTGAAAATGAATGCATTCCAATGTGTTTTTTGCCTTGGCTCAGCGGGTAAGTTACTTCAAGAATTAGGAAAAGTTGACGGACAACGAATAAAAAATAAAATTAATTCGTGATAATTCTTGAAGCTGAAACTAGCACCATTAAACTAGGCTTTGACTTTTAATTTATTTAGCATAGAACTTTGCGTAGAAAATTCTTGTCGATATAGAACCTTTATTACTGTGTATTATAGCGCTGAAAAGTGAATGACAATGTGTATTACTAAGAACAAAATCCGTGGTTCTTACTACAATGTTAGACAGTTTTTCGCGCAATAAAAACTATAGCCAGTCAGTATTTAGAAAGGGCCTAGAGGCGGACGAACTTACAAAATAATATTAGGTTTCTTTGTTATTTAGTTAGCTAACTTTTGTAAATAACTAGATGGCATATACATTTTATTATTTAATTTGTAATTTGTGTGATCAGACTGTTAATGGTTTATTTGTTACGAGTTGTTGCTTTTATAGTAGAATTTCAAACGTATCTGTTGGTAGAGTAGAATTGTTTATTAACGGGTTTCCATTTAAGGCATTTTCTCACTAGCGGCAGCGACGCGGTCGCATGTGAAAAGAAACTACAACATTGTAGTGTCTATTGTTCAGAAAATTATTCCGCTTCGATGTTAGTAGACAACTGAATTAGAATCAGTTTTATAAAACCGAAACGCTGCCATTAGTGTGTAAACACCAATATCATTAGTAACATATACTCATTAGAAAACAATATTATATCCTCGTACCTAGTAATTCCTATATACTCGATTTTGTCTAAATTTTTGATTCTATATTATAATATATATATATATATATCTTTCTTTAGCTATGTGTCTGTAACCACAAGTCTATATATAACGTGTATTGTACGATAATGTGATGAAATGTTACTGCATCCACTTCTGGTTGTAAAATTAAATATTTAATAAAGTAACTGAGATCAAAACATAATTGTCGTTTTTTTTACGTTCTCCCACCGTTTAATTTAGGATTCAATTTTCATAGCCGCAGAACGGAACGGAACCCACTTTTTGTAATGAAATTGTACGCAGCATAAAAAAAGTGAATTTTATATTACGTATTTTGACAACTCGATTTTGAAAATTTTAACGTACATTTCATATACAGTACGCCATATATTCACTATACAGCCAGCTGTTACTAATATAGTATAAGGTTGCTTACTAACAAACTATGGACCTATGGTGCCTGAAAATAAAAGAATTTTATATATATTCTTTGTTGCACCAAATAAAATATGTACATCAGAAATATTAAATTAACAGAAACGGAGCAAAGGTGGACCTATCTTTAAAAGAGATCTCTTCCAGCCAACCCAGGGCAGTGAGAGCTAAGGTTATTTTATTTACAATGACCTGTGCGAATTGTGTAACGTAACAAATTAGTATTTTTTTAGTACGGAGTAAAATGACATTTGCGGGATTGCCAGTTTCATAAAATTTAAAATAGTCAATTTATAGTTGTTGTCGACAGTTTTATCGATAGATTATGAAAGAAGTTAAAATTTTGCCAAAAATATCTGAATTGTGAATAAAATGAAAATGAAAAACTTTAAAATGTCTCTGCTCTTTGCATTTTTAATAAACGTAGTTCCAAATGTTAGTGTATGTATGTATGAACCTACAAGAATTGACAATTCGAATGGTGCTGTATCCTGCAGTTGCCGGCCTTATGATGAATCAAATTAAACAAGTGGGACAATTTATTTCGCGTAACAGACTATTTAGAAGATACCTTTTGCAAAGGCGTTTTTTTTTTAAATCACTTTATAGAAGCTTCCTAAAATCATGAAAAAAAGTATTTTTAGGCAGTAAATAGTTATATACTGCTAGAACCATAAGTGGTCCAGCCAACCTGTCGTCAGAATGGCTGGCCACTTTATTTCTTTAACATTTCCGTTAGCGCAAAGGTACAAAATATGTCAATCAAGGTAGTAAATAGGTTGTTAATAATGAGCACAGTTTGATTTGTATATTCGTTTGGTCCAGCCATGTCGGACTCGATATGGTAACTGCGGGACTTCGCGAGAATTCTCCGGAAAACGCAAGACCGGTTTTTTTTGGCTTTTTTGTTTTACACTTGTATACGGGATGCAAAGATTATGATTTTCACATGACGCACTTTGATTCCTTAATTCATTCACTGCCGGCAACGCATATATATGCGTTCATCTAACTTCACCTGTCAATGTTTCATATGTTTTTCAACTAAATTACAACTTCGATAGCTAATATAAAAACCAGTCCATAGGCTAGGTTATTCAGAAAAAATCATACTTTCTTCTTACTTTACGTAAGTAACCGCAGTCAAAAATTAGTCTCTTAATTTCACACGTAATCGACGACGGCCGATCGGCGGTGTCAACACCCGAACTACCGTCAACGGCGAATCGGTCTAACACAACATAAGTTAGTAAACATGATCGCCTCAAAGCGATTCCTCATCGATAAGTGTGGTTACCCCTTTCATAGTGTAGTTGTACCTTAACACCTTCGCAGTGTAGTGAAAAAAAACGAAGCTATAAATGAAACATTGTATTTATTTAACTTTATAAACGCAATTATTACACATTGGTTATAAGGCTAAAATTTCTCAACATATTCAAATAATCCCAACTTATATAATTACTCATGCTATGATCGCTATTAACAAACATACAATTTCATTTCATACAAATCGACAACTGATTACAAGATTATCTTATTGGAAATTAATACAGACTCTGAGCGAATGTAACTCGAAAACAAAGCTTTCCACAGAATTCATATGAAAAAAAAGACGTAAAAAAAATTACAAAAAATAATTTTATTGGTTTGATATGAAAATTTGCGTTAAATGAAAAAACGATTCTTGAATTATTACATGATGGTAAATGTTGAATATTTTTTTAATAAATATGAATAAAATAATTTTTATTTCTCTATGTAAACGTAAACATATCATTGCAGGCGGTCGTAAAAAAAATCCTTTAGACGCGTTATCGCCAAGCCCATGCAAATCCCGCTTCCAAGTAAAATCACAATGTATATCATCCAATTTAGCACGAATGCACGTACAGTACAACAATTTTCTATCTCGGCAATCTTCAGATTTCTGAATGCACCCGAATACAAATTTGTACCTCTAGTAATTATTAGATTTACCATCTGTAATATTTTTTGGAAAACAGTACGTACGTTATTCTTGTTTTGATTTGATTTTCATGTGCTGTAAAAAAGTTTCCCTTTTTGATAATATACCATATCATTTACTTCTAAACAATATACCAAGTTAAGAAAATATGCCAAAATAAAGAGTATTATTAGCTGCTTCCAAGTCGATTGCGGTCTGCACCAAGTGCAAAGGGCAACTGATTGAAATCCGACGCCAGCCGAACACGAATATTGCCGAGAAATATTAAAAAAAAAAACTTGTAACGGCACCCTTTTAAGCCGGGGACGCACTGTAACCGTTACATGTTAAGGTGTGTCCAAACATAAAGCGGCATTCGAGCGCGGCTGCAGCGCGCGGCTTGCCGCGCTATGATTGGACGACTGCCGCGCGCGGCAGCCGCGAGCTACCTGCCGGCAAACTTGTGTCCCGCGAATGCCGCGCGTAGCTGCCGCGCACCTTGCACGCCGTGTTTGGACACACCTTTATGTTACCAAAAATCATAGTGGTGTACGTGGTTCGCGAGCTAGTCGCGAGCGGACCGCGTGCGGTTCGCAGTGAACCGACGATAACCAGGTTATCATTCTAGCGAGTGATGAGTTTCACGCGTACACACTAGAACCTCGTTACTGTATCTGGAACTTTACAGTTACAGCTTGCTAATAAGTTGATCATACAATTTAATGCAGACTGATCGAAACGACGAATCGATAGTGTATGTTTATGTCTTTAACGATTAACTGGCGTTCCCAAAGGAGTAGCGACATATTGATACGATTATCGCGACGATCGAAACGAGGAATCAGCTGTTTTATCTTTAATTACTTTTGATGGAAAAAAGTTATATACATTATTCAACTTCATATTCTATGTTAGTAATGTTAAGTAACTCAGAATTGTACATTAAGTTCATTAGTGTAATGAAGGTTGATGATAACTGACAACCCTAATGCAACAGACATTGCAATTAACTGGACATAATTATGAAGAAATGAAATATTTTCAGAATGAAGTAAACAGAAAATGCCACATATTTATATAGCAAAAACGAATATCAAATAACGTTGTATTGAATAATTTCTGTATAACTACGTCCACTGTATACATAAACATTCTTGGAATAAAGTATATCACTATCTTAAATACTATTTAATACATTTTATACCTTTGTCATAACAATATAGAGATTACGATTGAATAATAGCTTCGTAAGCTTGGAATATGCAAGTTGCCACTTCAACTGTACGTGATTTTAGACTTAGAGTCGCTTCGGGATTGCCTGGCTGCAGTTTCAACTCTAGCAACACCCATATGTTATTAGTTAATTTCAGAGATTGGTAAAGCATATCTTGTCCTTCTACATTGCGTTTCGCGATGGTAAATATGTTGTTGAGTGTCATTTTTTGGGCAATGGAGTCTGCGTTGCCGATTACGTTGGATAGATTGTGTTGCATTTCGTTGGCGGCTGGGATCTCCTTCCACGTGGTAAGAAAGACTCGCTTGTCAAGTTGCCCGTCTTCGGTGAAGAGAATGTGAGCCGGTATTAGACATGCGAAGTAGAATACGTCTACGTTGTTTTTGATCGCCACCTGTGGATTATATATAACTTGTATTAAATTCATATTTTTTTATGATATTAAGTGACTGGACGAACGAGTCGTGTGCCTGGTGTTAAGTGACACGCCCGTCCATAGCAGTTGCAGTGCCTTGAATCGCAAAGATCTGAGGTACACTGCTACTGCACCTGTCACTCTGTGACATAAGTTGACAAGTCCCACGTGCCTGTAATGTCACCAAATTATTCGATCTTTTACTTCCTTGACTGTTTTTTTTTTTTGTTAAGACAGTGAGAAGTAAAAGTGGCACGTTAAAAAGTATTTTTGTTATTGATTGTTTAATATTCACGTTTTATTTTATTATCTACATTTACATTGTGTTATTTTAAGTTAACATATTTATTGTATTTATGAAACATGAAACATGAAATATATTAGTTTTGTAATTGGTCTATAAAAATAAACAAAAAAAATTTCGCACTGTAAATATGAAATGCCTCCAATATCGCTTGTACATTATAACTAATGTACAAAACATAATCTAACGATTATGAGGAAAAAGGACAACTAACATTGACTTGTTCCCATTTAATTTTGTACATTCCTGTACAAAATTAAATGGCGCTCATTAAATTTGAATATCGATTAATTTGAGGCGCCCCCTATTAGCACAATATTGATTTGAGAGTTCTCGGAAATGACAAAGATCATGATGATCAGAAAATGAGATCTGTATTATATTACGCATCAACTTTCGCCTATTCATCTAGATGTAGTGCTATTGTGTGCCTAAGGACCTGCAGGTTGTTGAGCGGCTCCATCCGCTGCACGGGCCCGGTGGTGGCCAGCGGCAACGGCGCCTCTGCGCTGGCGCCGGCGCCCAGCGCACCCACGCACAGCCCGCCCACCGGGAAGATGCCGAAGCTGGACAGAGCAGTTTCATACCATGATTATGTCATTCGAGTAAACAACCAATAACATTTATTATCCAATTGTATATGTATTATCTAATTGTTATGTTTTTTTTATTCCCCTTTTTATTTTGACTTTTTTTCATGTTATAATTATATTTTGTAATTGTTAAATGTATGTGTGCTGAATTGTTTCTTTATAGAATATTTCTTTTTTTTCTTTCTTAGTGAAAATAACGAAATAATGAAAATATATACACGGGGTTATTTGTAAGCATCGAGTATATAACCAGAAATAGAAACGAAACGTCATTTAATTTGTTTGAAAACTATTCTGCCAAGTCATTACGATGACAACTGCGCTCCGATTAGCCAGCCCGAATTCGGAACAATTAACGGGTGTCGTCAATTGTTTCACTACAAATCGACCAATTTAACCGGAGCTTTGCTACAATAGAGGAAAATTGAAAAATTTAATATTTAATTACCGATGAAATACGATTCCGTTTGTTACGTAATTAAATGTTTTGCTGTTTTTTCCACACCATCGAATGGAACAGCCCTTCGTAGTTAGAGATATTATCTTTATTACAATAAATAAATGCAGAATAATTTTGGAATATACGGAGACGTACACACAAGTTAGTTGTTGGCGCTGTACTATTTCAACTTTCTAATTTGTGATATCGGTGCAAATGAGTTGATATTTAAAAGTGATCTAAGGCCCATTTGCCAGATGCGTTGCCAGAGATGGATGGCCCTTATTTCGTCTCTATTTCTGGCTATATATTTTATGTACTCGATGTTTGTAAAATACAAACAACTTCTCACGTCTATATTACTAACATCATAAACTACTAGTTTTGTTTATAATATAATAACTACTGGTGTATTTAAGTGTTTTATTGAATGTCAGGATGTTTCACCAGCATGACATTCAATTATTATTTCGTCTGCTTAGTGCAAGAAGTCATTAATTGCTATAATATAATTTACATGGCAATTAATGACTTCTTGCAATAAGCCGACGATTTGTGAAATTACTCCACTAGTTTGTTATAATTATTAATAATACAAAGATCGTACACTCAGAAAAAAAATCCTTTGATTCAGACGGATTCAAATCGAAGTGGTGTATTTTCGCGAAAAAATCAGTAAAAAAAATACCTGTTCTTGTTGAGTTGTATGGCAAACCCGCTCATGGCTTGCATCGCTTTGTTGGTGAACGTCATCTCCATTCGCGGTTGTCCGTTTTGACGGCTGAATGTACCCCAGATCTCCAGACCTGTTAACACAAAAAGATTACATCAAATTTAGCGAGTTCTTAGGTTCAATTGTTACCCATATTATTTCGGATCTAACTCGCGCTTTTTCAAACAGTCAGCCGTGACCATGGGTACCTTTAAAGGGCGATATTATAAAAATACATCCTAATGCTGGTCGTGACAGAAGAGACCCGATTTAATGTACATTCCTGTATGGCTTACCTTTCCCTTTATCAGCTGGCAACCAGCATTGCTTGGGTGGTACGAACGAGGCGGGCGCGGAGCTGACGCCGAAGATGTCGCCGAGCAGGCCTGTTGTACCTGTCGTCGCCGTCGGCTCGCTGCCCATGGCCTAAGCGAGGAAATTGCTTTGGTCAAATGGGATGAATTCATAGTTGAATAATTATTATTTGCTACGATTCGTCTCATCGCTTTATCTTTTGTGTACTATGGATAAAATAGTGCAAACAACTAGTTTTATTTAACTATAAACTTGATAAAATGTTGCGGAACTAACTTTGCTGAATTATTAAGAACAATTTCGGTATTCAGTATTTTACACGAAGTACCCTCAAAATTTAGTGCAACAATTGTACCGTAAGTATTTTTATTCAATTTTATATCGATAAAACTTAAGTATCAAACTCACTACTCATCGTCCGTGCATTGCAGTATGGAAAATGTCAATAGTTTGTGACTAAAGCAATGTGATTCGTCAGTTTAAATTTGGAATTACATTCCCTACACATGATATTAAAGTCTCGTGATTGGTCAGTTTGAATTTTAAAATGCGATAATGCCAATGAACCATAATATGCGATGACCTCAGTGGCGCAACGGTTTGCACTTTGGACGCGAGATGAAGAGGTCCCGGGTTCAATTCCCGGTAGGATCAATTTAGGAAACGATCTTTAGTAAATTGGTTCTGGTCTGGGTGTTCTGGGTAGCGCCCCGGAGTGAATTCCATTGCTCTACTCATAGTTACTTACTTAATTAGCTCAGGGAATTCCCTAGTTTGAGACCAGGTAGGTACTTGGTGTAGTTGTATGGCACATTATAAAAAAAAAAAAAATATTGGTGCAAAATTAAAATGATTTTACAAAATAAGTTGCATTGCAATCTGTATCCTAATGTAAGCATACACTCACCAGCACGTCTAGGCCACCAGCCAGCAAGTCGATATTTGAGGCGGGCGCGGCCGGCGCCGGCGGACCGCCGATGTCCATCGACAGGAGATCGCCGATCAGAGACTCCTGCGCAGTGTTTAAAAAGTTGTAGGTCGTTAAAATCAGTAGTTTGGCGTATGTGCAAGTTTACAAATCTCCTATTTAACCATAAATAATGTATTATCGGCCAATAAAAAAAAACCTATTACAATTTCCTCGTAGAACCTCCTAGAAACTTCCTGAACAGATTTCATTTTGCAGATGTGACCATATTACGCCCAGTGTGTATACACATAGAGATATATTTTGTCGAATTAACTAACGAACCGTCAAACCGTTAAGTTTTCTCGTAATTTCAGCAGTAGTTGCTGTGATAACATTGCTTCAAGATAACAGTTGTTAAAAGCAATATTTTCATTATGTAGTTCACATTTGTATACTTTGACTTGTGGATGAGTGTACCTGGTTTGGAATAACTGTGGGCTGAGAGGAATGTGACTCGTCGGGAGCAGATCCACGCGCTGGAAGCGACTTGCGGACTCCGGCACCGCGCCCTGGTTGTAATGTTACTTATGTCAAACAACAGACGTACACAGATTTATTTTTCATATAACCGAAAACCTGTAAACGATTGTCGCGATTTAAAACTAGTTTTGTGATATCAGCATTAATATATTCAGTCTGTTATGACGCCTAAGAGAAGGGAATTAGCCTGGCAGTCCAGGACCTCGATTCAGAACTCTTCGATGTTTTAACCGAATCGTTCGATTGGACATCGTTCTCGAATCGAAGGGCGCTTTCCGAGCTATTCAGAACACTCGAAAAACGTTCGATGCGGATTCGGATACGATATCGTTATCCAATAACGTTTATGGAGTTAGTCGGCGAATATAGATTATAAGGAAATGAAATCCTTTTATATACATTTTTAAGACTTTAAAGGCCTAAAATATAGGAATGCGTTGGTCTTGCATTAGAATAAATTAATAAAATGAACAAACTAACTTTCAATCAATAACTGTGTTCTGAATAACGTTTGTAGCCTTTGCCGTTCGAGAAGTATGAGTAATCGTACGGGTGTGAGGTCATTTTGGTTCGGTGTCGAATACGACAATTTCACGTTCGATTCGGTTATTGTGAATAAAAAGAAATCATACGATATCTAATCGAATCGGTCGACAACAGAGTTATCGTAAGGTTTTGAATAGACCTGCAGGCGTCATAAATGCTGAAGGTGAGACATCAGGCGTCTGCTGGGAGTGCACTGGTGGGTTTACGCATTGTTTGTTACAAACTTAGATAGTATTTGTTGTCTAAACAGCCTGAAAATAGAGTATGACGAAGCAGTAAAATAATTAGAACGAGACCCCCCGCTTGTACTGAAGGTATAAGAGGGCATGTAAAGGTGGCAGAGGAAAGGCTGTAGGGGTATGTGTGTGGAGGCACATCATAGGGATCAGAGGATTCCATTACTTCAGATCCATGGGGTGGATATGAGGTTAAAGGAACTATTAGGACAATAATAGTAGTCCTATAAACTAGAATGAAGTTGTAAGAGACATAACAGCTTTACAATACCTTCAACGAAAGCAGTAGGTGGCTTATGATAAACTGAAGCTAAAGAACTGATGTGGCAGATGAGTTCGTCAAGAAGTGTTGGCTCCAGCAGGTCGGTCTCTTCGGAGATGAGTGGCTTATCCGCTAGGACGACTTCTTTGGCCGCGGCCGGGTCCGTGGAAAGGAGACGCCAGTAGATAAAACCGCGATCTCTGTTACAAAAGTTTTTAGAATATGTTAATGGGAAATGCATTTTTAGCAGCTGTAGAGTTCCTTATGAAGAAGACTTCATCCGGTGAAGTATTTCCACCTTACCTACTGCGTTCCGGTTTTGAAGAGTAAGGGTGCTGACGAAATTACAGACACATGGGACTTGTCAACTTGTGTTTGTTTATAACGTGTCAGACAACCACGCTAGCTACCTAGCCTCATCAAACTAGGGAATTTCCTATACTATGAGTAACAGAGCAATGGAGTTCACACCAGAACTCCCAGACCAGACACGTTCATTTCCAAATTGGTACCACCCGGAATCGAACCCGAGACCTCCTTATCCAGCACCCACATCTTTCTATTAAGTTTAAACGGCTTTTTTGCAGTCGGTACCATCAGAGAGACACTTAGGAAAGTTACGAGAAAAGAATGTTCTATGTTCCGTGGGTAGAAGTTCATGACCGATGTCATGAACAAGGTTTTGAAAACTGACACATTCTTCAAAAATATATCCAAAAGTTACTCATGTTTATCAGTTTAACGGTGTCTTTAAATACAGGATTATTCAGAGATTTGTTACCAACCTTAGATCAGGATTATCAGAGTCCTGAGTAGCCAATGACAGCACATGTTGAACCAGCTCTTGAGTGTCAGCTGGACGTTTGAGGAAGAGCTTGACGACAGCAGTCAACAGCTGCAGTTGCACTTGAGCGTTCTCGTCGTGAAAACCTTCGAGGAACGAGTCTAGCAATTCGTCTGCGTTGTCTATACGTTCAGCGTATTCGCCTACGATCCATACCTAGTAGATAAAAACTGATTAGAGACAGTTTCTTATAATTAGGGATCGAAATAGGCTGCGTATATTTGCGTAACCTTTAGTATAATAAGATATACTTAGCGCGTCAATGCCTATACATTGGTCGGAAGGTAGGGTTGTCACATTATTATTTTAGTTGGCCGTTCGGCCACCGAGGCAAAAGATTTATAAAACAAACTTGAACTGCGACTAAGCAAAACTACCGATATAACAAAGTTTTAACAAAAATAGCTTTTGTTAAGTTTAAGCAAGAAATTAAATTAAACTTTTGAGTTTACTCCATGATTTCTTGCTTAAACTAAAGTGAGTCGAAATCAAAGTTCGTTTCAAAATTTCAGCCTAAGTGCGCAGCTATAAGTGCCTATACATTAGTCGGAACGTAGGGTTGTCACATTATTATTTTAGTTGTACCTTCAATTTGTAAACGTAATTTGAAAATAAATTATGCATAGTACTCTTGTGCTAGATTGAAATAACTTTTATCGAATGAAGTACTTATATATTGCACCCTGTGCCCAGTGGCGTAGCGTGGGTGTAGAGGGGTTCATGGCCCCTGGCGGCACAACAAAGGGGGCGGAGGCGCGCGCGGCAAAGTCCTAACTAGTATTTTTTTTTACTTAAAATTGGAAAATAAATTCAATTATTTGAAACAACGATAACCTGGACAAAACAAAGGTGGCAACACCAGGCGAACATAAAAACAATCGAGCGGAGCCTGCCCGTACGAAATATGTACTTTCGTAATCGTGAAAATAAATTACGTGAATTATGCGAATGTGTGCATCCTACACGGCACGGGGCGGGCACGCTGCTACGTTTGCATGTAGTTACACTACTAGTCTTATTAATTCTACTGTGCTTCAAGTATTACACAAATATAGCGTCGTCTTAGAGTGAATACCCCGTTTGTGAATTCTACGCAATACTTCATGACGAAAATAAAAATACGGTGTAAAATATAGTAAACACAATAATGTATGTTATTAGCATTTTAATTACTTAAATTATACCTCTTTTAAAGAAACATTATTATTATTTATTTATTTTTCCAAATGATATACTATACCTTAATAATATTATTTAATATTTAAGCAAGAAATTTAATAATTATGCTCAACAAAAATCAGTAAAAACAAACGACGAAAAATACGTAACTGAGAATCAAAGACTAATTTAAGATTCAGTATACTTTTAATAAGAATGTAACTTACCATGGAAGCCCTGGCTTCAGGTTCATCCAGCGTGTCCAAATTCTCGCAAAGCGTGCTGATGATGCTCTCGTACTTATTAGGATACTTGCGGAAGATGTCTTTAATGACAACTATGGCTTCCTGGACTACGTAGTTCACTTTCGTCTGGATTAACTCCAGTAGGGTTGATACGCAACGTTCGGCTGAAGGTTCCACCTGGATTTGTGATTAAAAAAAACTTGTAAGAGAAGGCTTTATTTGATATGGGATAACATTAAACAAAACAAAGACACTAAGATTTAAATTGAAATAACGTACACACTCATAGCCCTGCACTAGGGAAACCCAGTGCGGTAGGTGCCATAGACACACACAAAGACAACCACTAATTACAAACTCTCAACAGAAATAAATGTAAGAAAAAAAATTTCTCACTACATGTCACTAGCGGTTCAGTACAAGGATCTTTAACAAAAACATATACGAGAATTTCGACAACTCGATTAGTTGACCCGTAGCTCAGTGGGTAAGAGCAATACAACGATGCAGCATGGTCGTGGGTTCAAGTCCCATCGGGTCGAAAAAGTTTTTGTATGTATTCGATCTCTGTATTAATAATCATAATAAAAACTAGTGGAGTTATTTCACAAAACAATCTCAATAATAAATGCAGACTATATAAATATTTCTCCCAGTCCAGGTATCGAACCCGGACCTCTGCGTGGCAGACCAACATGGTAACCGTTCGGCGATTGAGGCAGAAGATTTATAAAACAAACTTGAACTGCGACTAAGCAAAAATACCGAGATAACTAGGTTTTTAGAAAAATTACTTCGCCGATTTTAAGCAAGAAATTAAAATAAACTATTGAGTTTACTTAATGATTTCTTGCTTAACTAAAGTGAGTCGAAGTCAAAGACAATTTTATAAATCTCAGCCAAAACGCGCAGACATAAAAGCTGCATTCTCACTGCATGAACCGCAATGCAGTTTAATTGCAGTCCGAGTACAAATACAACGTACGGTTGATTCGACTGCATCTTAACTGCCAACTACATCGACTGCTATATATTCAATATTACAAGAAAATTTTACATCATCTATATCGAGATCTATATAGCATTTATCGACTGCAGTAACGCATGACACTGCGCTTATACAAAAGGCGAGAACCTCCTCGTCAGTGGGACAGAGAGCGCAATATCGCCGTCCCGCTCCGATAATTATAGCCGAATCAGCAGCTAGTAAATAATCTTACTATAGTGCAGTTGGCAAGCAGCTTGTGTGACTACACCCTAAGGGAAGAACACTGCACCACTACAGCACCTTTATCTGTAAATTGAATACATAATAACATTGACAAATTAAAGTCTAATTCACCTTTATAGCGCATCGCCCGATAGCCCTTACGGCCTTCCTGACAAAGTCCACGTCCACCTCAGTAGCATATTCTTTGAGTTCCCCTAGCACTTGCGCGATGTTCGCCTGCGACGCTAGACGAATCATTATGTCCAGCTTTTCCAGTTTCACGTAAATTGGATCGTTGTATTTCACGAAGAATACCTAAAACAAGAATAAAAAATAATGTAATAAAAAAAAGAATAAGAATTAAATTAATAGTCAGCTGGTAGCAGCTGTAAAGGTACCTGGCTGAGTGAAGAAAAACTTGCATAGATTTCTCACAGATGGCGCTACTGCAAAAAAGTCGTTAAAAACCATTCGTTCCGTAGCTCAACCTTTACAGCTGCTAGCAGCCCGTCTATTGAATCGATCTTCGCAAAAATCGAATTGTTCATCATTAGTCACTACTAATGATGCACAATTCGATGGATGGATTCTCACTAGAATCCACTGGATTGCAAGTTGGGTATAATGTGGAGTTGCCTCTTTTTCGTCTAAAAAGATTTTTTACATCGAAATATTGTAATTAGTGTGGAATTATACAAAATTCGTATCCGCCGTTTCTCACCACGATTTTGGACTGAAATGGGTTAAAACCCGCGCGGGTTGATTGGGTTTTAACTCACTGCCCAATCTCAAATCTCTTCAAATTGCAAGTGTATACACATGTATAAAAATATGTCTTGTAAGAACTAACACGGTCAGCAGTTCAGCGGCCTTACCGTGAACTCTTATTACGATTCAGTTTAGGAGTCATAAAATCATAAAATGGATCATTATGAGACATCGCTATATGAAGTGTATATATCACCATCCCGCTTTTTTATCGTTACGAACCTATACTCAACTGTAATAAGAATTCATGGTAACGCCGCTGTTGTTTAAAAACAGTGGCTCCGGATTAGCAACAAACATTGGTTTGAATCCCGTCCGACTGGAGAAATTTTTCTTTGTTTTCGATCTTTGTATCAATAATAATAATAACCTAGTGGAGTATTTTTACAAAAAAAAATCAAGGTAGTAAAATATCATGATATTCAATAAGTAAATACCTAATTTTAGAATCTATTTGAGGCTATTCCACAATTCATAACGCCTAACGACAAGCGAATACATTACTGCGGGTGAGAATCTCAAAGTACGTGTGTGTCATATAACTAATTTAATTTACATCGTGTTCTCAATTATACCTACCAATTTTTTTTTTATGATACAAGCAGCTTGATTTTGATTGCAATTGAATTTGAGGCGCACAATTGCGATTCACAACTGGCCGATCGGAAACTATTGACATTTCTAATCGGAACAATAATAGTAGGAACCAGGTTCATCTTCACGCTCAGAAACCCATTTGATTTCGAGACGATCTGCCTTCCGTCCGCTTATTTGGCAGTAATTGTTTCGGACGGATGTCGGACGGAGATCGAGAGTAGATCCCCCAATTTGAATCAAAATCAGCACTCAAGTGTCGGGACGAACCAGTCGTGTCTGGTGGTAAGCGACACGCGTGTCCAACTGTCGCTGTGCCACTCAGTGCTTTAAATCACAAAGATTTAAGAGCCACTGCGACTGGGTTCCTCACCTTGAGACATAAGTTAACGAATCCTAGGTTTTGAAGGTAACCTTCAAAACGAAACGCAGTAATGCTCATATTGCGTGCTCATAGAGGTAAGTACTGCCCTAGACGAACTCTTTTACAAGGAGCTCTACTACTATTTTAAATAGTAAACCCAAATAATGGTAAACCCATTTGCGATTGTTTTCATAATACACAGTGAATTTGTCATAAAAATGTTTTAATTTCTAATTTCATTACCAGTATGTCAAAAATTACCTTCATCTCATGTTTTAGAATATCCGGCCTCTTCTGCACGACGAGGTTAATGTTCCGCAAGGCGACATACTGCACCTCGGGTTCGGCGCTGAGAAGCGTCACCAATGGTGGGGCCAGCTTACGCGAGAGCGTGCTTACTAGATCCGTGTCTTCGGATACCATCTCCATAAGCTTCATGAGAACCTGGTTGAAGAATAAAGGTGTTAAAAGCAACGTCAAAATCTTATAAAGACTGGTAAGTTAGATTTGCAATATAGCCATGTTCAGGAGTTATTAGTTGGGTGTGTTTGTTAATCTTTTGTGTTCTTAAGTATAACAGGTTAAGACAGGTGTGATACACATCTCATATTGCCTTCCTTATCATATCATAAACTAACATAATCCACTTTTTTATTGAAATTGAGTTATTATCTGGGATCAGCAAAACGAGAAATACCCCCTCTAATCGGTTTCTTTCGTCTTATTTACTTTCAGTTTTAACTGCCGTGGCCGAATGGCTATCTCCAGAGTTTGGGTGTAATTTGTGGTTGTCTACTTATGTGTGTATCCATGGCACCCGCGATACAGGGTTTCCCTAGTGCGGTGCTATGAGTTTTTGTAACGCACACAATAAAATAATACAAACTAAATAAATAAAAAAGTTTTCAATCAGCATAACTATCATTTTTTACTAGCAAAAAACCCTCCTACCTCGAAAGTTACCGAAATGCAAGGAGGGCAGCACAGTCATCTGTAGCGGACTCCTAGACCCATTTAATATATTTATTACATTATAATAATAGTAATAAAAATGCACACACTCCACATACCCCCGCACTAGGGAAACCCTGTGTCGCGGGTGCCATGGGACAACCAACACACATAGACAACCACAAATTACACCCAAACTCACGAAAGAAAAAATGTAGGCCATACAAATATTTGTCCCGGCCCGGGAATCGACACTGGGACTTAATAATTTGGGTTATTATAATTATAATATTATAATTCATATTTTTTTAAATACAATACATTAGTATTGTTTATCAAACAAAGCAATTTCGACTTTGATTATGAACAATAAAGTTTTAATTTCTTTTTAGTTTTACCTACACTTGGATCATTATGACCTCAAACCATAGGCAATGTTCATTACTTTTAATTAGTTCCGCAGACCTTGTTTCTCACAACGGAAAGGGTTGGCTGGAAGAGATCTCTTCTACAGATAAGTACGCCTTTGTATGTCCTTCATAACATTTTTTTTAAGTGTCCTCTTAGTGCAATAAAGTACGTATACTTTTAATAACCAGAACGGACAACGGTTAAGACACTTTATTTACCTACATATTGTAAGTACTAAATGAATAATCTTCGACGCCATATTCGTTCATACAATACCAAAACTGTTTTCTATCATGGTAAAAATAACTAACGCTATTACGTTAAAAAACATGAATGAATATTCAGTTACAAAGGACACTAGCAACACTGTATTAAAGCTAAGGCTACATTAGTACCGAGTTGTAACTGCAAATAGAAAGCAGTCGGTTCGACTGCACGCTAACTGCAACGCAACTGCGAGAGAACTGGCTGAAAACTCTATTATTTTTAAATACTGTGTTCACGACGGGTCTCACTGACTTCTAAGACAAATAAAAATTCTGCCTTCTTTCGATTGTAAAATAAGTAATTACACTTTTATATCACAGAAAATGTTGTAATTGAACATTACCTTAACAGCAGACAAGACGACGGCAGCATTAGCGTGAGCCAGCCGAGGCGTGATACGCTCGCAGATGGAGTGAGCTTCACGCACGTCACGCGGGGAGTAGTTGGAGAGTGCGTCAAGGATGAATACTTGGCCCCACTCCGTACATTCGTTCAACGCGGTGAGAAGCTTGTTTATTGTTGGTGCATTCATTTCTGCAAGTTTTTCCAAGTGTCAATTACGATAGGATCGTCAAGAAAGTACTTGTGGTGTGCTATTCTAAGTGGATATCCTTGGTCTTTTATAAATATTTTTTGAGTTACACTTTGTTATTTTATTTTTTCTCTTCTATTTTAATGTCGAAATGCATCATATACATATAACGGTTTATTTAAAACAAAGCTGTACAAGTCATTGACCTACCAACAAATGGACATCGGGTCTAATACAAAAACCACAAAAAAAATGTCCAAACTTAACCTATATAGACGTAGTGACATGTAACGAAATATAAAAAACTAAAACATTTAATTTTAATTGTAATGTCATTGCAGTACTGCCTAATTTTGCTTGCAACAATTTAAGGGCCCAATTACACCATATTCAGCTTCTACTGGAAACTTAACAAAATGCACCATATTTAGCTTGGATTGAAAATTACTTGAACACAAGAGTAATGGAGTAGCCTTTCTCCTAAATATTAATTAATTTTTATATATATTATATAGATATAGATATAACAAAGAGTTGGGCAGATACATACATACAAATATGAAAATAATACAAAAAATACAAATGTGAAAATAAGCATGTACTATAAGAAATGTACCGATATTCCAACTCAACGTAAACTCAAATACCCGTAATTCCGAAAACCGATTTATAATAAAACCGTTACGTTTTGAAGTAATTTTGATGCTTCTCACAAAGCCAAAATTAGCTTTTGTTTTGTAGGTAACGTTATTTCGGGCAAATGTATTTTCTGATTTCTGATAGGTAATCCCTAGCCGTAAAACGAGTACAACACTGTTTTGTTAGTTATTGCTAACGCTTAATAAAAAGTCATTTTAAAAATAAGATTAAAATCAAATAGTTTCTTTGTTCCAAATATTTCAATCGCTTATGGTTCGAACAGTTGAAAATAACCAAGAAGTTTGTATAAGCTTCTTGAAATTGACGTAATGGGTCTCTTCCCATCTTTTGCGCATGCAATGTGTAGGAAAAGGACAGTTAGCTATTTGATTATTTTGTGTGCTTTTGTAATTTATATTTACGATTCATTTATATATAAATTAAATACTATAAAACTGAACAAAATAACGCTTTTAAATGAGAATTATGACAACACAATATATTTGTTTAGTGAAAATATGATACAAAATCCTATTTTTACACTTTACTGCAGTCATTTTTACAAGTTATTATTAAATGGTACTGCATGATTGACAACCGCGCTGTCAGTCGAACAAACGGAGACCGTTGCGCGATTGACGCTTTGTATGCGATTTTAACGCCCTACAGTTGCGGATACTTTTTAACGCGAACCCGACGTCCATTTATTGGTAGGTCAATGGTACAAGTGGTTAACCTACCGACCTAAACGAAATATTTGACAGGAAATGAGATGTAAGATTTTATCTTGAAGATTATTATTCCTGACCAAATTAATTTGTAACTTGACATGTTTGTCACATTTTTGTATTATTGTGTTTTGGTAGTCTGATTGACATTATATAACTAGACATTTGCATGCTATTTAATTTATACGAAACATGTTTGTACTGGCACTGTCTCTTGTAACATCTTCGTTTTAAGCAAATAAACGAATTGTTATTAAATTTGAAAAACATTAACTAGGGGATTAGTGACTTTGAGGTCGGTTTTTTAGTACTCTATACTGAAATTATGACATATCGTCGCCTTACTTTCTCAAACTCATAACATAAAAAGGTGATTATACAGGAAAATAGGCGCCTTGTCGTCGAGTTGCGGACACCAGCCCGTTACACCAAGTACCAAGTATACAGGAAATGGCAAAACTTTCTATTTATTTTAAATTTCTTATCAAGGGTGTTAATTCGAATGCATTAGTTTAAAAATAAAGTAAAAGCCAGTGTGTGAATATGAAGAAAATGAGATGTGAAATCTGCCTGCAAAATTTGTACATGCAATCGATTTTTTGCATTTCAGTAACTTTGTGCTTTAAGAAACGACGAGTTTGAGAATGTAAGGCGACGATATGTAAATTAAAGTACATTGAGTCAATTATTGGATCCTGCATCTATATCACACTTTAAGAGGTACGACTGATGGTAGTCACCGTCTGGCACTCAGAGCTATATGGCATTGCCACTGCACTCATTACCTTGAGACAATGTTGACAAGTTCTATGTATCTGTAGTTTCTTTGATAATGCTACCCTTATGGAACATTCTGTCTATAACTCTTGGTGACTTACCTACAAGAGGATGTCCAGAAACACTAGCCTCATTAATCTCCGAGATAGCAGCCACAGCGTTGGCCACTACCATGGGGTTGGAGTCGCTTAGCAAGTCCTTCAATTGATCTAGGAAACCCTGTCAATTTAATATTATGTTAATAATTGATCATACACACGACGCGACGACGCATATTCGACCCGATTTGGCTTAGTACCACAGATTGAAGCGATTGATTTTTACGGATTTATTTCTTGAGTTGGGTTCCATACAGAAATCAATTAGGGGAAATGGTTAATGGAAGGTTATGTTATGTATGTGCTTGGGAGTTGTGATGACGTGTTCGCAATATAAACATTGCCCCTACCACGGGTAATAAAATTCTTCACAATTTTGTATGACAAATTGTAAATTAACTATAACAGTCGTAAGTAGTAAATTATTTTGACATATATTTTACGCTAGTTACAACTTTCACTGTACACTTATGGTAGGTAACACTATTATTATTTTAAAATAAAAATCGGTGCTCAGTGCCGCGCCAGACCAATTAATTAAATAATTACAATAACAACACAGAACAGTACGTAAATCACAGAATAAGTTATTGTACAAAAGGCGGCCTTATTGCTAAGTAGTAATTTCTTCCAGGCAACCTTAGAATAGAAATTTAAGAGTTGGAAAGGGGAAACCAAAGAATATCTTCTAATGGAAATAATATTGTGCCAGACAACTATAATGAATGACAGAGAACTCATTTCATGAAATCGTTGTCCCGGACTACTCCCGTACATATTTTTTTTATGATAATAATAATAATAATAATAATTTATTTATTTATTTCATAAACTTACGGGCGAATTTGACATTGACGTGTTAAACGTTGCATTTAGGGCAAAACATCTGTGTCTGAACTAGATAATTAGTTATCTGTATTTCAGACATCAGCGCTATTCTGTGAATACAAGAACATGTAACAGATTTCAAAAATAACAATGTCTTCTAAAGTTGACCTTGGGCCTTAAATTTTATTTTTTATAATTTACTTATAATTTTAAGTGTGATAGCGACATCTCCATGAGTAGAGTGGAAATGATTGAATATGTCTAAGAGAATGTGTTGTTTAAAAGGGATAAAACTTTTGCATAAAGCTTTCGTCTTAGGTCAATTTATGGATAGACTCTGCTACTCAGTTTACATTATCTTTTGTTTATTGTTGTACACCGATTTTTTTTAAATTAATTCTGTTATATAGATGTGGACCTAAATAGCAATAATGTATAATATTTATGTTTAATTATGTTTTGATTTATTTTTAATGTTAAAATAAGTGCGAATTTGACCTCCATCTCAACTGATGGAAAGTGACGATGAAGTCGACGATGGAGCATGCATAACTTAATAATGCCTATTCAATCTTGCCTTGAAAATGTCCAAGTTATTGCGTTCAGGGAATAAGTCTACAGGCGGAAATTACACGCCATAGCCGTTCGCCATATACGTGTAAAAGCGTAACGCATTGTGTGAATCTTTGGAATATCGACAACATAGGAGTGGAACCAGCCTACGTCTAGTCCCCCGATGATGGAAAGGAAAAGCGGAATTAAATCGTGTAATCATTGTGTACTCTCCGTGTTATATCCTGTAGAATATACGAACCTGATCCTCAACCATGCTCGAAGATATATCATACAGCTTAGCAACACAAACAGCTGCGGTCTTCCTCACGTATGGGTCTTCGTCTTTAAGGCATTTTCTTAACGGTTCGCAAAGGTACTCCGTGATCTTATCTACCCGGATACAACCCATGGTTCGTACGGCGAGGGCTCGGATCAGAGGGTTCGAATCTTCGCAGTCCTGAAGCCGTTGAAACGTTGTTTGCATTCGGTATTTGCGAAAAAAGAAAAAAAGCAACGTCAGTACTGAAGCTTGGTTTCTATTAAGCAGCGAGTGAGACCTAAAAATACTTTTGGACTTCAAGGTGTTATGGATTGCAATTACCTTACAGTACAACTATTTTCTTAATGTCTCTCGGCAATCTTCAAATTTCCGAATGCACCCGAATACAAATTTATATTCGTTTTTTTTTTTTAAATTTAGAATTAGAAAAAAAACGTAAACAAAGAAGCAGTGATCGTAAACCTTTTCACAAAAAAATTTTTGTAATTGACAAAGTCATAATCGTGAGATATGATGACAAACGACACGATAATATGTTATTATTTTATAAAAACAACCATTTAGTGTTTGGAACCTCTGTTTCTCTAACTATTATATAATGCAAGTCTGAAATAAATTATGTACGTAAAATTAGGAATTTTTCATTAAATCTTTAATTAATACTACAAGTAAAAAAATCTCGTAATTCCATAAAGGTGTTTGAGAATTTTGTTTTACGGTATTTATGTAATATAATTTGCTTACAAAATCAATGAATTAAATTCCGCCTGGTACAAGACCGAAAATGTCCTTCTGTCTAATGCGAAAAAAGACAAAGTATAGTACATTCATACACATTATCAAGCCTGTCCTCACTCGCCTCCTCCACTCCCATCAATATCTTCATACATTTATTCTACACTTTATTAGATAATAATTTTAATTGCGAACTACGTATGTACTTTATAGTTGTTTTGTTTTTATTTCCACATGAACTATACAGGTTGTAAAACTATTTCTCTTTTTATAATCATTTATTATTTAACAATATCCCAAACAAAGACCTGTAAAGATCCCGAAACGTTGGTTTTGTTTATAGCTGGTAAAAACTAGTTTCATCTCCAATATAAGCAAGGTAACGAAAATATACTTCTAGTGTATTAGCTACTGTATATGTATATGGCAACGCTAGAAATCCGGTGACAGCCGAAAGGAGAAGATTACCGAGAGTAATTAAAAAAATAGTTGTACTGTATATCATTTGAGTAGTAGAGGCCTCCGCCAGAGGCTAGCAATTTCAGTAAACAATCAAAAATATATTTTTTTTATGATGCCAACCACGACGGGACGAACAAGTCGTGTGCCTGGTGATAAGCGACACGACTGTCCATAGCAGTTGCAGTGCCACTAAGAACTTTAAATCACAACGATCTGAGAAGAATATCACTGCACTCGTCTCCCTGTAATTTCACCAGCACCCTTAAAGCCCTTCAAAATCGGAAAGCAGTAATGCTCACATTACTGCTTGGTGGCAGAAATAGGTAAAGTGGGTGACTTCCCCAGGGAAGAGACGCACTCTTTCACAACTCTACTACTAATATATTATATTACACTTCATGAACAGCATGCTGAACAATACATTTTAGTCTGTTCTTAAAACAAGTGCAATTGAGTTGAATTTAAATCCTAAAAGTGGAGCTAAGTAGACTGTTTACTGTATTACTTAAAAATGTTGTCCATGTATTTTTAGGTTGATGATTTTGATTACAGTAGAAACTTTTAATATTCATCACCAGTGATCGGAAATAATGGAGTTAATTTAGCTGAACTAAAGAATAACGTGAATATTACCTTCTATAAATCCTAGAACTTCTCGGAACTGATTAGATTTGAAAGCATATTATTTATTTAAATTTGAGTACATTGGCGATTAAATTACTACTTCCTATTAAATATTTGCTCCAAATTATTGTCCCAAAAAATAATATTGTAGTTGTGTTTCTATTTAACTACTTTAGCCATTAAAAACATAAACATGAGACAACCTATATTTTGGGCTGTTTAGAAAATAAACAGTAAAACAAATTATATGCATATTGACGGCCTCTGTGGTCGAGTGGCTTGTTTCACACCGGTTTCATGGTGTCGCCATCTCAGAGATCCCGGATCGATTCCCTAACTTTTCTATATTGTCTCGGGTGTGAGTGTTTGTGGTACCGTCGTTGTTTCCGATTTCCATAACACAAGTGATTTAGCTACGTTGGGATCAGAGCAACTTGATGATGTCTAATATTTATGTTGATGACGAAAAGTGTACGTCCGTACTAAGAAAACGTTGATACTTTAGGTAGACTAACACCTCAATTCCGATCACTGTTCATCACACATATTACGAACCTTAAGATGTAGACCTAAGTCTCAGTTTTACACTTTGATCCATTTCTGGAGGTTCTACTGTATAATAAAATTTGCCTATGTGCTTCTAATTTTAATAGAACAATGGTATATGACATTTAGATGTTTATTTATATGGATTTTTAAAATGTTCACAGGAAAATAGTTAAAAAATATCTTTGCAGTGATCAGCACTTAGAGCTGTAACTAACACTATCAGCCGACAATTATAATATATAACATTATTTAAATTAAACCCTCTTCACTGAAAACACATTTCTTAACATTTATTGTATACTACTTGACAATGAGCTACGATAAACAATTGGAATGTAGATTTACACATTATACGCTGAGCTTGCACAATGTTAAACAGCAAAAATCTCAATCATAAAGAATACAATAAGTGTGAAACACCATACTCTTTAACCGCACATGACAAAAAATTTGCTATCGTTTTATAGTCCCTATAATAGTGATGTGCATGCATAATATTTATTTTAAAATTTTCATGCAAGGGTGGAAGACTTTTTTAAGACATAGTGCTGGATAAAAACTTGGAAATAACCTATATGTTATTCCGGATATTGTTGCTAAACCTGCTGGGTATGACAATGCTAAAGTAAGATTCACAAAAATCATCAAAAACTGGTGAAGTCGCTGACATGCATTGGTTTAGGATTGATTATGGTCCCATATCACCTTTATACACTCATTATGGTCTAATTATATAAATAAGTGCTTATAAATGCCAGATTCATTATAACTGTTATATATACAACAACTAACTGTAGTAATGCATAAGACTACACAATTTCTTATTTCTGTAATTTTGATGCGCATTGACAACATAGTGGGATTTTCATTCTGACCAATGACATTGCCCAAAATAAAGAATAAAATAATACAAAATTATTTTTTACTACAGATGGCTCAAATTTTTTTTATGATATGAAGCTACGGAACGAACGCGACTGTGCACCTAGTGGTAAGAGAAACGCCCATCCATGAGTTGAAGTGTCGCTTAAAAATTTAAGTCGCAAAGATCTGAGAGGTACTAGCACTGCGTCCGTCACCCTGAGACATAAGTTAACAAGTCTCATGTGCCTGTAATTTCACCATCACCTTGACCCTTCAAACCGCAATGCAATAATGCTTACATTACTGTTTGATGGCACAAATAAGTAAGGTGGCAGTATTTCCCTCTACTACAAACTCTTTCACAAGGAGTTCTACTGGTAATAAATTTCGCCTATTTGCAGGTGAATAAATGGTTTTTTTTTTAAATCTTTTATTTAACCAGAGCTTTTATTGCTTAGCGATAATGCCAGCTTAAAAATAAATGGTTAATGATGAAATATTTTCTACTAGATGATTGTTGAAAGTGTTAAGTTTGGAGAAAACCAAACTTGGCAAAGAATTCCACTCTCTGGCACTTTGTATAATTAAGATGGAAGCAAACCGCTTTATGTGAATTGAAGACTTCTACTTTAACAATAGGGAAACTAAAGCTTTGTTATTGGTCAGTTTTCATTTTTCACCCCCTGTATGAATGAGCTACAATAACTAACACTGGCACATTCTCACATCTAATAGGAAGTGACATTTTCAATATATATGACCAGGTTTGTGGATTGGTTCAAAGTAATGTGTAAATCTACAAAAAAAATTTTGATGAGTTCACATTTGCCTTGATGTTAAGTTTACCTTAATGAGCTGGTATGTTGGTAGATCCTTCCACCCATCATAATATGGTACAGTTGACATTAAAAAAAAATTACAAAAGTCACACACACATAAACTACTTTATGTTACTTTAAACTGGTTATACAGTATTCATGAGTACTATCCATGCTTGAAAAGTGTATGTGTTGTATTATAAGACAGACAATAACATATGAATAATAATGATAAAGTGCCAGACAATCAAATTAAAGACCTGGTCTCAAAACAATAAATCCCCAAAACTATGAACACCAGACTATTAAAGTTAACTCTGGGAACACTTTGAAGAACACACAGACCAGAACCAATGCGAAAACCCTTTTCTAAATTGGTTTTGCCAGGAATCGAACCTGAAATTTTTTCACCAAGTGCCCAGTGACCAAACCTCCAGGCTGACTGAGATTTATCAATTATATATTTATAGTTGTATTAATGTATTTTTTGCTCTATTATACTACAAGTAGTTATAAAGGCTTATTCAAAGACCAGTTACCCTGACCCGTTATCTATAATTGTAGATAGAAATGTTTTTTGTTTCTTGAAGGGTTATATTAATTAGGTTATTATAGAAAAATTTCCCAATGTATATTATCAGTTCAATGACCTTTGTCCTAAGCCTTTAAAAAACACAAGCGGTTTTTTAGCAAGTAAGAATAGTTCAACTTATATATATAAATCCTCATGCACAAAAGTTAAAATACTGTACACTTTGTCAGCATGTTTAAAAATAATTTTAAAATAAATGAATATTCAACATTTATGCGGCGTAAGCATTGTATTTGAAAACATTTTCAAATCAAATACTGTCGGAAATAAAATAGGTGTTTGACGAGCTTTCATCTCCTGCTTATTAACACAATATATTGCTCACAAAAACATGAATTTTCTTATGTTTTTTCTACATAGGCACCCAGTATTACTGAGGTACTGTACAATTTTGTATATTATTGTTCTAAACTAAAACGTCTATTAGATATCACAGCTGGGAACCTCTAACATTTTGCTAGTTCTGCAAACCCATTGTTATAACAAATACGAAAGTATCTACTAGGTTTAAGAATTATGTCGAGAATAAAGAGAAAATCGAAGAAGTTGTAATACCATACCTTGACAAAAGTGTTAACTGCCATAATAGCCATATCAGGTTGAGATTTTGCATAGTTCATCAGGTACAAGTAGACAAGCTTCTTTAGCTCCAAGTTGTCTGTCTGCATGCAGTTTACCACATCAGGGAATAGAGCTGATACATCTTTGCCTACAGTCATTGATGCAATAACCTGAAAAAATAAATTTGAAATTAAAATATATTCCTTTCCACCTAGCCTACAATTTGTTGCTCTAAAAAAACCTTGAGTGACCAAGCAAGCAACTATTTCCGCCAAGGAATTTGACAATCGATATTAGGCTTGTGCCTGCTCGGTCTTTAGTGGGAGCGAACCCAATTAGTTTTGTTCAGATTAAGGGACTAATTCGGTCTTTTTTTTAGTTCTTTTAGTTCCTTAGTTCAGTGAGATCTAGGAATTGGAAGGGAATAAGAACTGTTTCAGCCTTTGATGGATACTGAATAAAATTATCCAAATGAATGATTTGTACATCTAAATAGGAATGTTTTATTGTTTTTCCCACTTTACTATTTTATTATTATTTTGATAACACGAACTGGCAAAGATGGCACTCGAACTTGTACTAAAGGCCATGATAGTCCATTAATAGTCTCTTTAGCTCCATCTCCCCTCGCATCTGTGAACTGAAAGAACTAAAAAGACAAGTGAACTAATAAGATCTCCTTGTGTCTGTGGCTCAGCAACCAGGTCCCATTCTGACTGAACTAAAAAGACAGGTGAACTAAAAAGGCCGTGCACAAGGAACTATTATAGTTCGCTTCGGTCGGTGTCAGGACTCTCACTCTAACTAAAAACTCATATCTATTCAGAAGTTACTAATAAAATGATAAAATACAAATGTATTTTATTTGATAACCCTTGGCGTATCTAGTAAAAACCTCAAAATAGGAGAATGAACTAACCTTCTTTACAGCTTCTTTCTTTTTCTCCTTCTTATCACTGTTCAATTCCGATTTCAGCTCGAAAATCTCACCCTTCTTGGTGGTGGTAAAATACTTCGAATCAGTCATTTTTGTCTATTTTGCGTAATTTTACTCAACAATTACAAAGTTTATCTCAAGGAATACCCTTGGATAAGTAGTAATATCTTTATATTTACGCCACTCTCGACTAAAATTGCTGAAAAAATCGATATTTTTAATAAATATGACAAACACGGCTACAAGAAACTCTCGTATCTCTTGAAAAAGTTGATGTCTACATAATTCGAACTAAGAGTATGATTATCAGTAATAAGAACACAATAATACCAATAAAATGTATGATTATATTGTTCTAAATCCCATGAAAATCACAAAAAAAAACCGAAAAACGTACTTCTGACACGACAGAGGGGCGTAACATAGGGATGTATGGATGTAAGTACAACAGTGAAACAGTGTTAGGGGATAGATCGATTCATGTTTCTTCGATTTCACTTTATGTAGATTTTTTCTAAAGAGGTATTCGAGACCATACGTCAGACGTTAATGTATTAAAGGCAAATACGACAAAATCTAAAATACATACGAAGTAATTCCTAATAACAGATCTAAATAAAACAAATGAGAGAATTGAGCTTGAGCAAGACATATTGTTGCAACCCTATAGTCGTAAAAAAAAAAGAAATATTACCGAGCTTCCTGAACGAATATTTACGTTCCGTTTTTTGCAGTTGAGATTCGTCACTTTGTGAGGATTAACAGTGGGCCTAATAAAATAAATTTTTCATATACAGGAAGATTTTATTAAATGTATTGAATTAAAATTGAAAAACTTTAAAATATGTCTGCTCTTTGTATTTTTAATAGAAGTTCTAAATACGTACCGTGTATGGACTTACAAAAATTGACAATTCAAATGAACCTCTGACCAACAGTTGGAGGAACAATGAGCCGATGAAAAACTTTAAAATATGTCTCTTCTTTGCATTTTTAATCGGCATACTTTCAAAGCTGTTTATGTATTTATGTTCAAATTAATTACTGATAGTTCAAATGAACTTGTGCTTAGCAGTTGGACAGACCGATGATGATTCAAATTAAACAAGTTTGGTTATTTATTACATAAGCGTGACCAACATTCAGTCGATAGAATATTTATCGACTGTAATCACTAGCTGCTAGCAAACTAGTAACAGTTTTGGGCAATGACCGTTATGAATGAACATTTTACTCCATACATCTTCAAAAAAGATGGACTGTAGTTCGGTCGCAAGATAGATTCAGTTGGTCCGCTCATTTATGGCACACCAGTATGGTCACACGAATGTGCTACGCGACTGCATTATTATTATTCTTTAAACTCAAGAACCTAATTATACAGGGTGTCCGGTAAATAATGAATAACCCTGAAATGCCTTATAGTAGAGCTTATGAACGCTCAAAAAATATAAAGAAAAATATATCCCATGTACTTCCTAAGATACATTTTTTTTTACCTTTTACCCAAGATACATTTCATAATTTGGATCCTTTAAGACTCAGAGCAAATTACAAAATTAAAAACATTATAAGCGGTCATAGTAGAGAAACTATATTTCAAAGCTATAAACGTGTTTTACTGTCCACTCTCAACAGCATATTTCATACATGTGACCTACAACATTCATGTATATCTATTTATTCTGTGGCCTGGTAGAAGTGGTTGGCGTAAGTAATAGAATTTGGGCACTTATACCAAGACACAACAGTATTGAACTGCCTAGAATAAGCATAATTCCGAATCACGATTCTTTAATCTTGGAGTCAACAGCATCTAATCTAGATCTGATACTCTGCAGCAAGTAAAGTTTATGACTTACACGAGACACAAAATTTTAAAACCAATCACTCATTTGCTATGCAACCGACTTATTGGCGAAGGTAGTATAGGTGCGCATATAGTTTTTGTTAAAAGTTTTTGACCAACGAAGGTGTTAAAAAAAATCCCCGTAGTGTAACCATAGTAAAATAAGAGAAGTATGGTAACTCCGCAGAAAGTAACAGCACGACTTGTGTGTGTGCGACCGCCGCGCGGCATGTACGAACACAAATATTCGCATGTGCGTACGAACGATCGCGCGCACTGGGCCGACCAGTGTGCAACGCGAGCGCATCGCGAGATTATCTCCGAACACGGCTCACGGCGGGCGCACACACTAAGCCGCGCTACTTAAGCTTGTGTGGCTTTACCGCGCATTTGTCTTATTATATTATGGTATAACTTAGGTGGACGATGGTGAGTATACAGTACACCCAGGTGGTCCACGGGCACAAAGGGATGGATACTATATAAGTTGTGACAAAAAGTTGTTAAAAAAAATGAAACCACAGAAATTCTATTTCATATTTAAAAGTATTATTTTTACAGTCGTGGTCCAGACCAACTTACGAGCTAACAATATTTACAGCGGTAAACCATTTCCAAACATTCATTAAAAACTTAATGCATTTTTAACAACCAAATAATATAATTCAGAAAATATAAAAGTAAAGGAACTTAATAAAGGTAGTAATCAGTATATATCTATAGGTACTCATAACCAGGGGCTTCTGAATTTTTATACCTTTTACATATAGTGCAAAACAGACAGCCTCTATATAATTACTTAGTGTTTAGTATGCACTCGCTTGCCAGTCTGAAGTAGCTAACGAATCAGCAATGCTGAGTCTTCATGCTTTCCACATTACTGTTTTTTGTTTTAATTGTTCGCTTATATTATGGTTTATGTATTTTGTGGATAAATGTCTTTTTATTTGGCCAAGGGTGTCAATTATGTATATAAAAAAATACAGACGTGAGGATTTATTCAATATAAGAAGCGTTCGTTCATAGTCCATAGTTCGTAAATAGTCCCACTGATAAGTGAAGATTGAGAGTTAATGAGGATGACACATACTTGGCCAGAAGATGACCTGATTTTAAAAAATCCAAGACAATTGATGGTGATAAGTAATAACTTGTTAACACACAAAAATCAGAAATTTGTTCTCAACAATTCCAGAACACGACGAAAATTTATATTACTTGTTACGTCTTTACTATTTGTTTACAGTAGCGATACGCAGTTTATTTACATTTAAAAAATTGTTCCAATGTGGAGCAACACACACGACCTCGATAAAAAAAATAAAAAAATTCGAAAAGCTTTTCCTATCAGAGATGTCAAATATCCGCGGAAGACATACTGTTGTTATAAAATAAAGTCATAACAGTGAAATTTAATATGATGTTAACACATCATGTGATACAACATTGTTGAAAATTTTATGACAAAAAGTCACTGCACAAAATATCTTTTAAAAACATTTAAAAGTGTCTATAGAACTTTGGACTACACTTTTAACGTACTTCTTTTGTATACTCTAAGGTAACAATTTTCATAGAGCAAACAGTCCATAGAAATTTTAATATTAATATTGCAAGAATAAATTTAAATCAAAAACGTACGAGGCTCATTCAACTCTACCCTCCAAAATATTTATAAGGCCTCACAGTATTTTATAATTCCATGCGTAACACTATTACTATTGACAATGAACATAACTTAAAAATTAATTTATTATAAAAATTTCATTCATTAATTTTGTAAATAGTATTTATTTTTACCTAACATTTTAATTTAAACATTAATTGTTTTTGACAGGGGTAAATCGTAATAATTCAAATGTAATTAAATAATTAATCAATTTTCATTAAACCTAACGTCACAAACAACGCATGCTTGAACGTTCCTTTGTTGTTAACCACCACATGTGACAGGAGATATAATATTGTTCTGCAAAATAATTTTTGAACATTCTTATAATATTGTAAATAGTATTCTGCCAGAGTTTTTCTTTTGACTGCTAAACATAGTGTTTTACTACCTTCAACTCTTCACACTTTTTACAAATACTATTATAAATCTAATTATTTCTCGAAGGGTGACCACAATAGGATTTATAGAACCGCCTGAGCAATAGTATACTTCCACTCTATATGTTAAACACGTTCACTTTATATCATTCATAAATATCATTACATTTAACATTAACCCGTCATCAGCTTCCATTAGACAAATGACGTCACTAAAAATCCAATATGGCGCAAATAACAGCAAACGCCAAGTTGCCATTTATTTTTAACTTTCGTACTAGAAATATGACTCAATAGTGATACGATTCACCCTATACCAAAATAACTTAGTCTATTTTCACAAGAAACTCCTCAACATCCAACTTTTGCCTCATAATGGCTGACAACACAACTTCCGTACTGCACACTACGTTTAATGTCTTCTCCGTTTGCAAAAGATAGTACACAAGATGCAAATCGTTTGGCACTGTTAACACTAAATAGCTGAACGGTTTTTGGTTATGCAATTCAGATATAGACACGTATGAACGTCGGTTCTTTTCAACTTTGCCACCACATAACTCTATCATTTCAGTCAGCTGTGATCGTGAAGGTTTTACACACGGTGTTAGGAAGAAAGTGATGCCTTCAAAGAGTTTTCTTCTCTGTTCACCGCATAGTAAGACTTCCGATACATCGCATTTGTACATTTTGTTGAACGACTCGTCTTTAAGACCAAATTGAGCTTCGTCTGCGAATTTATTCAACCGCTGGCTTTCTAACACCCATTCTGGAGATAGTAAGTGCTTGACTGTGACGAGGCAACTGACTAATTTGGAAGTTCTTACAAGTTTCTCCATTATGAGGTGTGTTGCTTCCGCTGCTGATGTTACTACAAGGCCGCCCAGTTGCCTGGAATTTGTAAATTTTGTCGTAACAAAAGTTAAAACATGTACTTATTTGTTGAACTTAGAAAATCGTAAAAGGGATTCTTTTTATGCTCTTTTTGTTTGTACAGCTTGATTTCATAAAAGTGAAATTGAAAACTCACACCAGTTAATTAAGGTTTAATATCAATTACTGTGAACAAGCCGTGGTAGCCTAATGGTTTGACCTACCGCCTCTCAAGCAGAGGTCGTGGATTCGAATCCCTGCTCGTACGTCTTGAGTTTCCCGGAACTTATGAGTGAAATTTAATTTTAAATTTACCATGAGCTTTTCGGCGAAGGAAAACATCGTGATGAAATTGCACGTCAACAAGGTTTACAACCCCCGGCAATCGTGTGAAGTCCCCTTACTAGCATTGGGCCAGCGTGGCGGACTATGGCTTAAATCCTCATCAGAGACTCATGCCCAACAGGGGGACATATAAATGTGCTGATGATGTGTTGTTGATGATGATAGCTGTAAATACTAATTGAGGCTATAAACCAAATATAGTTTATATACATATACTAACTGCCTCTGTGGCCGAACGGTTACCATGCCGAACTGCCACGCAGAGGTCCCAGGTTCGATTCCCGGGCCGGGAGAAATATTTGTATGGCCTACACTTATTTCTCTCGTGAGTTTGGGTGTAATTTCTTGTTGCCTATGTCCATGGCATCCGCGACACAGGGTTTCCCTAATGCAGGGCTGTGTGGAGTGTGTGCGTTGTTATTATTATTATTATTATATAGTAACCATATATAACCAATACATAATTTTAATTTCAATACATAAAAGTAGTATCCGAATACATGGGTCACATACACTCCTTTTGCGCTGATAGCCTCAATTTTGCCAATTACAACGATGTGTAATATGACAAAGGAAAAAAATTCGAACTTACCTAACAATTGCAGCCAACTTAGAAAGCTCATGCGGCGGTACAGCCGAGAATAAAACTCTCGGTGCGAGATGCAGCGGCGGGGGCTGCGGCGGCGGCTGCGCAGGCGGCGGGGGCTCCAGTCTCGGCCGCTTGCGCCGTGGACCGCCCGAGACAGCCGCTGCTGCGCGCTTCGCACGTTCGTGCGATTCTTGCGTTATGTTTATTGGCATTTTCCACGCATCTGGAATAAGTGATATAGTTTTAAATCATAGAACTAGAAATATTATAAGTATTTCCTCTAATGAAAAATCCCAAACAGACATAAGACTGCAGTACTAATTAATATGTTTTAGTTTATTCTAATTTCTATTAATAATTAATAATAAATTAAACTTAATAAAAATTCATTCAATAAAATAATTTGTAAAACTTAATGTAGCGTAAATTGGAATGTTTTCTTTGTAAAATTAAAAATAAGGTATTTAATTAATAACTATTGTAACTATAGTGAAAAAATAGGGTGGTTTGCATTAATATTAGACATAACTGGTTGAAGACTGTACCACCTCAGTCAACCGTGACCATGGGACCTGTAAAGGGCCCGAAAGGTCGGTTTGTTTGAAAAAACAAATAAACGCGATTTAAATCCGGAAAAATAGTTTCATTTCCTATGTGTTACAATCGCGAAAACCTAAGAACTCCATATGTACAAATATCGTTGCTTTTCGAGAATATTGGTCCAAACACATATTTGTGCGGACCGCAGCATATCAAGCTAAACATTGACGAATCTATTTCTGATGCCCTGGCGGCGATATTCGAAGAAAGTGTATAGTTTCATGTGCTGTTAACTGTACACCATTATTCTAATTTAATTGCGTTGTGAATAAGACCTCTTCAGACTTTTACACTTTAGAGCTTTCCATTGGTTAACATAATGACGTCACGACATTAAGACGGTAGACGATTCTTCGATTATGCGTGCCAAATAGGTTCCAGTTTTTTAAAACCATTCTATATTCATCCGTGGACTTATAAATGGGAAGGAAACGTACTTTAAGTTTCGTGTGGATATTGCTCCGTAACGTCTTTTTTTAATGAATCTAATTGACGGGACGAACAAATCGTGCGCCTGGCGATAAGCGACACGTCGGTCCATATCAGTTGCACTGCCACTCAGAGCTTTAAATCCCAAAGATCTGAGGGGCACTGCCACCGCGTCCGTCACCCTAAGACATAAGTTGACAAGTCCCGTGTGCCTGTAATTTCACTAGCATTCCCCTTCAAGACCGGAACGCAGTAATTGTAAGAAATATAAGAAAATTCCACTATAATATTCCACGCTTTTCTTCAAATTGAAATGGGACTAATACCAAGGTACCCTCTTTTCAATGAAAAAAAAAATCACCAAAATCGGCTCACAAATGCCGTGGCATGTTATTGCGTAACATACATAAAAAAACATAGTCGAATTGAGAACCTCCTTTTTTTATGATCGGTTATAAAAATTAGTGTCGACTGACGCGATTCGCTAAAACTATATTCCTAATGAATAAAGCGTTTTTGCGGCAGGCCGCTACTCTAGAACGTCAGCGATGTGTATTTAGAAAAATGTATTCATGAATGCTTGTTTGATACCTACATAACCTAAACCCTCGCTTAAGAGGAGACCGTATCCAACAGGTTGTTGATTATGATGATACGTCATTCTGACGAAAATGTTCAACAAGACAAGCAATCTAGAAATGCAGGATTTTGGTGCATGTTCTTAACTTTCATACAATAATGATTCTTCTTGCATTCGCAAGAGCCGTGGTCTTAAATTTAAAAATTATTAACCAGAACTTACTCATTAGATGTGAAACTAAACTGTAATCCATTCGGAAAGGACTGGGCATGTTGAATTGTTGATATTTCGCACTTTCAATCTGAAAAGACGTTTTAAACATTTACACAGTAATCAGTGAATGCCATTGGGTTGCTAAAATGCCATAGGAATGAATAAAAATGTTCAAAGTTACCTCAACCAAGCTACAAAAGTAAAGTTTTTGCAGGAAAATTGCAGTTTTTTCATGTTTTTATGTCATAACCAATTAAAAAATGATATTGATAACCGAGAAACAAAAATCGTGGTACATGGTGTATTCAAGACGCTGGTCAATACAAAATCTCCAAAGTGTAAACAATACCTGTGAAAGTGCGCTCATGTTGCCTAGTAATAGATCTGTAAGCCAGGCGGCAGTCACGACGGGCAAGTTCCACTCGCGCGCTCGCCTGTACTTGTTGCCTTCAGCGCGCTTGCTTATAAGCACCGTGTTGTCACGAGTCATGTACGGTGTAAACTGTTAGACAGAGAAATGATATATTGTATTATATGATATATTCTTTTATTGCATCAAATAAATACAAAAGAAATTGCCACTGCCAAGAAAGTGCCACAGGAAACGCCACTGAAATGCCAAAACGTCATTGGAATGCCAAAACTAAATAGGAATGCCAAAATGACATTGGAAAGCCAAATTGCCATAGGGATGTCAAGGAAAAGGGACGGATTATTTTCATGCAGTTAATTTTCCCACGCTCCCTCCGAATAAAATTAACACAAACGCAACTACAATCGCAAACACCATCACCAAGTATATATTCGTTACTTGTTTCGCCTTTCTACTAATGGTGATAAAATACAGCACAGAAGCGCAGTTATTTTGCATGATTTATCCGTCAATGAGTTCGTGAAACAAAGTAATTTATTTCGATTTTTATTAGCACGGATTTCCGCAGTGACGCCTGAATCTAAATATTATTTTATGACACGAATAAACCTACCTTGGCACCAATATGCTCTATACAGTAGATAATGCGATCGCGGTCCTCGTCGCGCCAGCCAGTTATGGCGCAGCGGTGATGTTTCGCCGGACGATCTCTGGCTGCGTACATGCTCGGAAGATGCAATGCTTGCCAGGGAGGAGTTACGCCTCGTCGCAGCATGGCGTCAGAGAGCCAGTACGCAGTTACGCAGCGTTTAGCGTCGCGTAGGGCCTAGGAAGAAATAAAAAGTTAACACTTCAATGGATTCGCTTGTAGCTGCATCTATAGTCTGTCTTTTTTCAAACATGGAGTAAAATGACTTCTGCAGGATTGGTAGGTCAATGTTTGCAGGGTTGCCAATTTAAAAAAAAATTATGTCGTTGTTTAATTATTAATACAAAGATCGAACACTTACAAAAAATTCCTTCGATCTGGCCGGATTCGAACCGACGTCTTTTAGCAAACCGTGTCAGATGCTATGCCAACTAAGCCACGGAACGAACCAGCGGACCTCACAAATTTTTCTATGTGCTTATTGTCGGATCTTTGTATTTGGATTTCAACTACTTTTTAGCCTGCATGCAGTTATTATCGACATTGTTATCGATGGATTCTGAAAGAATGTAAAATTTTACTAAAAATGTCTGAATTGTGAATGTTGCGTTTTAATGATTACTAATTAATATAATGGCAATGAAAATAGAATGGCTACGAAGGTATATAACAAACTTCCACTTGAAATTAGGAATTGCAGCGATTGTGCAGAATTTAAGAAATTATTATTTAATTACCTAAATGATAGGACATTCTATAATATTGAAGATTTCTTATAAAATTTACATTTCATATTATTAAATTTGTTATTGATTATTTTACTATTGTTATTATGTTTCATTAGTATTAGGTTGCATTAATTGGACTGCATGATTATAATATTATTACAAATTATTGCATGAGATTTACTAAAACTAAGAAAACTTTGTATGCCATAAGGCGGATCACAGTGATTCAAAATTCATTCTTGTAACAACTTGAAATAAATGATTTGATTTAATTCCACACTAGGGAAACCCTGTATCGCGGGTGCCATGGACACCCATGCCATGGACCCAAACTCGCGAGATAAATAAATGTAGGCCATACAAATATTTCTCCCGACCCGGGAATCGAGTCCGGGGCCTCAGCGTAGCAGTCCAGCAATAGTTATTGCTTTCTTTATTTTTATTTTAACAGTTGGCCTACTACCATCGAAGTCAATTTTTATTTATAACATTTTAGTAACAACAGGCGGTTTGGTTATCCATATTAAATTAATTAAAATGAATAACTTTAAAATATGTCTCCTCTTTGCATTTTTAATCGATATACTTTTAAAACTGTGTATGTATTTATGTTCAAATGAATTACTGATAGTTCAAATGAACTTGTGCTTAGCAGTTGGACGGACCGACGATGATTCAAATTAAACGAGTTCGGCTATTTATTGTATAAGTGTGACTAATATTCTGTCGATAGTCGATAGAATATTTATTGACTGCAATCACTAGCTGCTTGCAAGCAGGCAACACTTTTGAGAAATGAAATATCATTTTACACCTTCATCTTCAAAAAAGACAGACCATGTAACTACAATATATTTTTTTAAATTAGTGACGGTATTGTTTTCAACGTGCTGCATCACAGGAAGGAGAACTCTGTACTGCAGCCCTTTGGCTACTATTTTCCTATGTAGCGATAGAAGAATTGCTATAATGTAATAAGTAATAACAATCTGCCAGACACCCACACCAATTACTTCGTTCTTAAACAAGGGATTCCTTGTATTATGAGTACCAGAGCAACGTCTCACTCCGAAACATTACTCAGAACACCCATATCAGAACCAATTTTAAAAAGTTAATTTCTCGAAATTAATCATACCAGGAATGGAACCCGTGATCTCCTCATTCAGCATCCACAGAGCAAACTGTTGGGTCATGGAGGTTTAGTAGCAGTAGAGCCCCTTGTTAAAGAGTTCGTCCAGGAAAGTACAGCAGCCTTACCTATTTCTGCTGCCAAGCAGCAATAGAAGCATTACTGCGTTCCGATTTGGTAGGATAAGGGTGCTGGTGAAATTACAGGCACATGGGACTTGTCTCAGGGTGATGGGCGCGGTGGCAGTGCCCCTAAGATCTTTGTGATTTAAAGCGCTGAGTGACACTGCAACTGTTATAGATAGGCTTGGCGCTTACCACCAGGCCCACGACTTGTTCGTCCCTTCCTCTAGTATCCGTTCACTTGGTATTATAAAAAAAAAGTCGTCATATATATCTGTTCGGTATTCTGCCTGTGCTATTCAATCTAGATAGATATCGAATGCCCCGCGTACTAACTGAAACGAAACTGGCTGCGTGGTGTCGTCGGTGTTGATGTTAGCAGTCAGTGTCGCTGAAAAACGTAACTTGCTTGAAATGTTTTAATTATTCCTTTCGTTTTTTTTTTCTTCTGGTTCTGCGACTGATTACTATAATACAAACGAACAAGACTGTGCCATCTGCCCCGTTGAAGACCCGCACTGCCGCCGTCGTAGTGAAGGGAGGAACGGGTGAGTACTTCTATATCATTTTAGCCAGGATAGCACAGGCGAAGAATTACTAGCGCCCTAAATACAGTCCACCTATTGCCGCGTGTCTCGGCTTTCTTATGCCACAATATCCTACTAAGGCATCCTGTACATCCAAATGTACATAATATGTGATTTGGACCCAGGTCATATATCATGATCACGTAATCTCCGAAGGTACAATACAATGAAAATATCGCATTCAAATTTAGCACTATATAATTCTGTGCGCCCATATGGTATCTAAAAAAATACGTTTACATACAAACGTTCTTTGAGCCTGTAGCATGTAATTACATTTTAATGTAATAAATAAATAAATGTACAATGACTTTTAGCGCTTTTCCCATTGTTGCAGTTCGCTGGATCTAGGAGTTTATAACTCCAAAGTTATTAAATTGTAATTGTTTGTTGTTGTAGATTAATGTTAATGAGTTTGATGAAACTTTACCTGCATAACAACTCCATGCTTCTGCGTCTCGCAAAGTACATGTGTGACTCTCGCACAGTAATTAGGCTCGACTTCTCCGCCGCGCCGTTGTATTGCTTCCGCCCATCGCGCCACGCGTTCCGTGCCCCACGACTGTTGGTATTCCACCTGTAAATTCGGTATTTACACTGTCTTAATTTCAGAGAATAGGATGGAACTTAAAATTTAACGGTACTACGCATAAAAGCCGGTAACGAAATGTTCTCTATCCACTGAACTGTTATTGGCAACTGAGTTGTTGCACCAAACGTTATTGGCAACTATGGTTGCCAAACAAAAACAATACCGCCGCGGTCCACTTTTGTTTTTCTGCTTATTCTAGTGCAGTACCTCCAATCGCCTTCAAATTTTTTCTAGTATTTCTCAATATAACAGGTAATCACATGAAATTAACGGACATCCCTATAAATTTCAAGCAAAGATAAATTGGAAAATAAATGTCAAAATTACAGCTTGTGGCGCGATTGTTCACGTTGAATGTTAGCTGAAGATTTCGACTGTAATGAATGCCATTACTATTTATTTTTGCAATTATTACCTACCAAAGTGATCGTTAGGATGTGTTTTTTCTGATGGTGTTAAAACTTTAACATTTGATATCATATTGGAATCACATCTTATTGGAAAAAAGGTTATCAAAGTGATGGTCATTGCAACTTGTGATTGTTTTTTAGAAAAAAAACTTATTCATTATTAAAAGACTTTTTGGAGTAAAATATCACACAAACACATAACTTTATTCAATATAGGTTGTATTAAAACCTTTTTTAGGTCGTTACATTGTGAATTTTGGTAGGATTCGTAAATATTCTTCCTCGCGATCTGTAGTTTTTTCACGACATTTTAGCAAATTCCGCTACAACCCGTGATTGTTTTTAATTTATTTTAAAAATAGTAAAAAAATATTTTAATATAATTCTAGTGTTAGTCGACAGGTATTAAAATGCTCGTCAGCTTTAAATATGTTTTGTTTCCTAATAAAATGAATATACAAAGTGGTTAAGAGTGAAATCGTAAAACACTATGAAAATTTCTCAGAAGTATTCAGAGTACTCGGAAGTTCGCAAATATAGTCGTCGTATTACAATCATAACTGTGGTCTAAACAAAAGCTACTTAATTGCTCTTATCGCTCATGTTATTTCTTTTTTGCCGTAGCTTAATTGGTTCTCGAATTTCAAGTGTTTATATTACACGCGCCTTATCGCGGCTCCTAATGTAAACTATAAAAAAAATGGTGGACATGGATATTTAAAATTACAATAACAAGGGAGTACAGTAACGTGAGTATATTGGCACTAATGTATGTACAACAGGCTTATTGCTAAGTGACAGCTTTTTTCCATGGTAGAAAAATAGGAAATGCAAAGAGGGTGCCATTAAAGAATATCTTGAACAATGGATTTTTAAATAAATACACTACATTGAATACTACATACCCGGACGCATTTAAGTGAACTCTAGTTAAATCCCCAAAAGAATGTAGAGTTTTCTTTTCAATAATCTGGTCACGTTACTAAAAAGTAATTTGTTGTAATTTTATTATTTAGTGTGGTGCGGTGCACGCTCGGATTCGGACGTGCTCCACTGCACAATAAGAATTATAATAATTCGCGACCCGCGCGGCAATAGCCGCTGCACGTAATTGACTATGGGTTCTCAGCAACTCATAGCCAACGAACTGTTGGCGTTTATACAACACGCCATAGACACCATGGACGAAGTCAGCATCGTGCAGATCTGCAAGTCAAATTTCAAAGAAGAAGAGATTTGCAGTGGCAAGGCGCTGCTTTTCCGGACGTTTGGCAAAGCCGAACAGATGCCGTCTCGTCGGAGAGATGGAGGAGTGAAGAGTCTCCAGGACATCATTTCGTTGTTCAAGGAGACCGACCCAGACGACGTGCCTGCATTCGTGGCGAAGGAGCTGCATAAGCTGCCCCCTGTCACGTTCGACCACGTCGACGTCACCAGGCTGCTGAAGGACATCACATCCCTAAAAGCAAGCCTTGCTGAAGTTCAGTGTAAGTTGGAGGCCTCAGACAACACCATCAGTGAGTTGCGTGCCCAAGTTGTATTACTTAGTAGTGCGGCTTCGGTAAGTAGGTCACCTGAGGCCTGCAACGTAAACACTTGTCGGGGGGCGCAAAATGCTTCTTTCAGCAGTTTTGAGTCGGCTCACATGCATGTGTCACCGACCTCTGGCGCTGTTGCCGCGCGCGTTTCCCCGCACCCCGCCCCGCCGGAGACGACCCCTTCACGTGATTACGCAGCTGTTGCCGCTGCCCGACCCAGTACTCCACAACCACAACCCAGGCAACCAATGAAGGGAAAACTGAAAAAGAAACTCGTATCTGGAGCTGCGTCGTCAGTACCACCGAGACGAGTTGATCAGTGCGACGAGGACGGCTTTCGGAAGGTGGAAAAGAAAAAGAAGAACATCAGCCGAAACCTTAGTGGCACCGCCCTGACTGGCCCGAATCATTTATTGCATCCAGCGGTACCGACGACGTTGTTATACGTGTCGCGTCTTCATTACTCCACCAAGTCTGCGGATATTGTGGAGTACATGCGAGTGAAGGCCAATGCAAACCTGAGGGTCGAGCGGTTGGAGGCGCGCCACAATGTGAATTTTAATTCATTTGTGGTGCGAGTACCAACTCAACACCTGTCGACCTTCATGAGAGAAGACTTTTGGCCGAAGGGTGTCATGTACCGGCGTTTCCAAGGACGGCTACCGGACACCCACGTTGCGTCACACGTCGAAGTACATACGTGTAAATAAATAGTGTTATATGTATATTATCATGTTATATTGTATTTATGATTAGTCCGTAAGGTATTTATTTAATATTTCTGTTATTGTTTTATTATATTATTGTTATATTATATGTATGTTAGTCTGTAAGGTATGTATCTATGGGTCCTAGTTGCTTGAAATAAATAAATAAATAAATAAATAAATAAATTTATTATTATGAAAAATTTTAGGTTTAATTGGAAAGCAAAAAATTAGTCGACTATAACTTTTTCATTCATTTGTTTTAATTTTCTACTGACACAGTAGGGTTAGCACGACAAGGCGCGACTTGCGCGCGAGTTACTGCTTTTCTCGCATAGAGAATCTTGTGGTTTATGTCGCGCATAGTCGTGGTAGCCCTACAGATTTGTTGAGTGGTCCGAGGTTTAATTTGTTTGAAAATTTCAATATTAGTTGAAAACATTTTTACTTGTTAAATTTTCATTTAATCAATGTTAAACTGTTACAATTTTAAAATGTTCGCTGTTCTGCATTGTCACAAAATAAAAAAAATAATTTACTTTGATTTCGAATTTTTTGAATAAAGTTTGAAAAAAGCTTACAATGTGAAAAACACAACCCAACAAAAACAGGTCCGGGGGTAGTTTCAGGTTGGGATTGTGTCCGTAGAACTGCGCCCTCGGTGGTGTAGCCCTGACGCCGGCCACGCCCACGCCCACGCCAACGCCCACGCCGGGCACGGCGGGCGCGAACACCTTGCTGCCCACCACGCCGCCCACGCCCACCGGTGTGCCTGCGCCCACGCCAACACCCACGCCGGCCACTCCTGCACCGGCCTGCTTAATCACAATAGGGAGGGATCACAATAAAGTTTTGCTTACGGCATAGAATTGGAGGATCAACCATTTATTAAAAATTCTCTTCTACTCTGTTTAGTTTTGTCATGTGAAGATGATTTCGTTATTCTGACATCTACTTTTTGCTTAGAATATAAGCAAAACCTAATTAATGATGACGACTACTACGGAGCCCTCTTTCCAACGAAAAAATAATCATCAAAATCGGTTTACAAGTGTCGGAATTATTGCGTAACATATTTAAAAAAACACAAAAATCGTTTAAAAATTACTTTTGACAAAACAAAATTGACAGGCTTTTTGGCTTCAGTCGGTTACGATTAACATGTAAGTAGAGTGATACTAACCAGTGAGAAAAGACGTTCAGATGACACAGAAGTAGCAAAAACCGCCGAATATTGTAGATTTATTGTACTTAGATCTTGCCAAACTGTTTTTCTAGCAAATCAATATAAAATAGGGGTTTAGAAAGAGATTATTTTGTTTAAATTATGAATGCGATCTAGACTATTCAATTCGCCTTAATATTGGATCCATTTACTTAAAAATCGCATTGAAAAGAATCGATATATAGTATACCCTTGAATCGATCCTAATAAAAATCGAGTCGCAATGTGCATCCCTAGTACACATTTCTTTTTTTACGATATCTATTTGGAATATCTTGCAGGGGCTAGGGCTTGCAAGAGTTTGAACGATGTGTTGAGCAGGAGTGAACTTAATATTGACATATTCAATTCTAATTTGAATTCATTAAAGCGTAAACTTGTGGGCGCGTATGTTTAATGGGCGCGATCATTTCGTAATGGGATATATATGGTTTACATAAATAAAATAAATAAATATCATAGACCGAGACACCCTACAAGAGGTACATAATTAGGATGGTTACAAAATTTATATCTTCAAACGCACAGATATTAAGATATAATATATTACCTGGTGTGCATGATGTGCTGGACCTAACAGGAGTCGTGTGGGAGCCCTCACTCCTCCGCCAGCTGCGTGTGCCGCTGTCATTAACCTATCAAAAAACATGTCCGTTAGTAAGAATAGAAACAAAACAAAATAAAGCCTAAAGCAATTCATATACATTCGAAACCTATTTTTAACCGCCTTCAAAAAAGGAGGAGATTCTCAATTCGACTGTGTATTTAACCGACTTAAATATAAGGACGAGGTTCTCAATCCGACTCTATGTTACGCGATAACTCATTTGTGAGTCGATTTTGACGATTATTTTTTTGTTGGAAAGAGGGTACTTCAGTATTGGACCTATATAAATTTGAAGAAAATCTCCACCTCTAAGGGTGGCAAACTAGGGGATGAATCCGGTTTCGCGCACTTCCCAGTAACCGATTTCAAAAACCTTGGCAAATAGACGTAATTTCACGAACTTTTTTTTTGTGTATTTTACGCGATTATTCCGACATTTATGAATCGATTTCGATGATTCTTGTTTTGTTAGAAAGGGGTATCTCAGTAGTGGTTCTATCCAAATTTGAAAAAATAATCCATCTCCAAGGGTGGCAAATTAGGGGATGAATCCGGTTTATTGGATTTGACCCACTTTTCAATAAAATTTGGCAAATAGATGTAACAATGGTTTTTTATGCTTTTTGAATTCCTAAAGTTTATAATAACGAACCAGCGGACCTTACGAATTTTTCTGTTTGTTGCAGATCTTTGTTATTGGTTTTTTAACGATTTTTTTTTGCCGCAACGCCATCTGTGAGATATTACTTTCATTTAGATATTACCTTCACTCAGATTATCTGGCACGGATTGCCTGAGGGAGCTGGCTCGAATCCGGCCAGATCGAATTAATTTTTCTTAGTGTTTCGATTGTCTTTGTTATAATAATTACACGTTATATATTTTGACTTCTTTTATTTATATATATTTATTTCGGGCAAACAAATAGACGAGCTACTTGTGTGTTGAGGTGGTCATCGTGGCCCATGGACGTATGCAAATTAAACTTGACTTTATTTATAATATCAAGTGACGGGACGAACAAGTCGTGAGCCTGGTGTTAAGCTACACGCCTGTCCATAACAGTTGCAGTGCCACTCAGAGCTTTAAATCGGAAAGATCAGAGAGGCACTGCCACTGAGCCCGTCATCCTGAAACATAAGTTGACAAAGTCCCATGTGCCTGTAATTTCACATGACTTCACTTGAATGAGTTTGAAAACACGGAGGCAACACGTCATCGACATCAATGGAAACTTGTAGGTAGATTATACAGGATTATTTGTAAAATGCTAGCAAGCTCGCAGCACTATATTACTAACATCACAAACAACAACTTTTGTTACATGACTTTTCACAAAAAAATATAAATTAACGAAAAATAATAATAATTACGGTTTTTGTGAACACAAAACATTTGTTATTTCAAGCCATCGAGTATATAACAACTAGAAATAGATATGAAACAAGGGCCATCCATCCCTGGCAACTCATCAGTCAAATGGTACTGATATCACTTTTAAATACAATTCTCGTTTGCGCTGAACTCAGAAATTAGAAAACTGAAATAGTACAGCGCCAACAACTGACCTGTGTGTACGTCTCAGTATATTCCAAAAATATTCTGCATTTATTGTAATAAAGATAATAATGTCTAACAATGGGGGCTGTTACATTCGGTGATGTGGGAAAAAAAGCAAAACATCTAATTACAAAACAAACGGAATCACATTTCATCGGTAATTAAATAGTAAATATGTAATTTTGCAATTTTTGTACATTATAGCAAAGCTCAAGTTAAACTGGTTGATATGTAATGAAACAATTGACGACACCCGTCAATTGTTTCGAATTCGAGCTGGCCAATCGAAGCGCAGTTGTCACAGTAATGGTTTGCCAGAATAGTTTTCAAACAAATTAAATGACATTTCGTCTCTATTTCAGGTTATATACTCGATGTTTCAAGCTGAACAACAGGCTGACTTTCAAGTTCAGTTAACGCTTAGAGGGCTGTTTGTTAAGAAGTTAGAGAGTCAGAAATCAGATGATGTGATGTGACTTTTTCATGACTTACCTGAGCGTTCCCGCCGCAGAAGGTTCGTGTTCAGGTGGCTGCGCAGTACCTTGCAGTCGAATGGACAGCATATTTGCCAGTGCGGTTTTGGTTTTAGGGTTCACCAGTAGTGCGCTGTTTGCACCTATGATATAACACATGACAAGGTCTTCATTTATAACGTATATACGTAATTATTTCCACACGGAAAAGGCGCCTAGACATCTAGTTGCAGAAATCAGTCCGTTACACTATACCATAGCAAGTTGGTATGTATTCCCTTCTTGGACAACACGCATAATAAACGATGACAAAAAGCGCTTAGAACGCCTATAGAGAATATCGACCAAGTAGGAATGGTATACCGCTGTACGTTCTGGATGTTCGATGGTAAAAAGGGGTGGGCGGAACGAGCTGATGGAGCTCATGTTCAGTATAATCAACTGCCTCCTTGGCCAAACGGTTGCCATGCGGAACTGTCACGCGGAGTTCTCGGGTTCGATTCCCGAACCGGGAGAAATATTTGCGTGGCCTACATTTGTTTCTCTCGTGAGTTTGGCTGCAATTTATGGTTGTCTATGTGTGTGTCTACCCATGGCACCCGCGATACAGGGTTTCCCTAGTGCGGGGCTATGAGTGTGTGCGTTATTTATTTTTCCCGCGAATTAACAAATTAGTGGAAATGGTATCAACTCCAGTAATGTAGTTAATATAACACTTACCGATTATATGAAACGCCTTCACCGGATATATTTTTATTATTGCTATTATATCGACAACCCAAAACAGAACGATAAACCATAACTCATTCAAAATATTTTGGTTTAAGGAATGAAGCACATGTTCGGCTCAAGAGAGCGTTGAAGTACGACAAAATGTTGGTTATGACAGATATAACAATTGCGACAAGAACTCCCACTTCACACTTCCATTCGTATGTGTTCCGTGATATTACTTAATATTTTTTATGTAACATCTATTACAATTATCACTAATTACAACTAAGAATCAAATTACATAACTGTACGAAATTGTAGAATCATAACATTTTATAGATCCTATTTACTTCCTCTGGCCGGCAAATTTCATTGGCCATTAGAGGGCAAAATTGGTATAGAAGGTGCAGAGCCGTCTTATCCACTTTTAGTAATATAGTCTGTGCTTTGACTTACCTTGAAAGTCAAATTCCACCCGGGACTCTATGTGGTTTAACTATAGTCGTTTTTAGAAATCAAAATAATACCTTGTTGTTCCGGTGTAGTAGGAGTCAACAAAGTGCCGTCGACTTGCTGCTCTGGTAATGGTGAGGCACCGACCACGTGTTGCGTTACTCCGGAAGCCACCTAGGTAATAAATATAATTTTTTCAAACATGCTCGGAAATGTTTGCATTACTTTCAAAAACGAACACGGGAAGAGTTAGTAATTTAAGTACCGTGAGACTTCTTCCCGACCAAGGCCTGCACAGTAAGTATGAAAATTTATTACTGTCCTCTTGTGTAAACTTTTAAATCTACCTACTAAATAATGAACTATGTAAACAGGCAAAGGGATAACTCATACGGCCAACTGCCTAGTATTAGTAATTGCTAGAATTAAAAAACCTACTTACACGCTAACTTAAACAAAAATAAAAAGGCGGTAAAATAAACTAAAGTGTTTTGGTACTCTTTTCTGTTTCCTCGTCTTTTTTGTATTTTCGTCGTGAAAAATTATAAAATGAGCAATGTCTCCCGTTGGAAAAATAGAGTAGTGATTGTACACCACCTAATTTAAAACCAGCGGCGATATTAGCCATGGAAAACTTGTTGCCGGCTATGAGCAAAGTAAGATACATGAAAACATAGGAAACTTTCATGCAATGAAGAAGCGAAAAAAATGCTAATTCGTTTTCGGAGATTGTGTTTGTATTGATACGTAAAATATTACTTTTAATATATATATATTTTTACTCTTTTTATAATACATCTTCCTCTCTTTAGTCTTTTATTATTTCCTCGCATTCTTTGAGCAACAGCACTATACACGCCTCGGCCGGAACGGGGATTACTTGACTCGTATTAATACAATTGTAACTCATACTCGTCCAGCAATTCTTTACTTCCCGGCCTCTGCAGTAATGTAGTATTAATTTACAATATTTAAGATTTCGAGGAATGGAAAAACGGTTGCTTTTTTTTGTTGCTTTTTGTAAGTTACATACATTAGCAATACTTCTGGCTAAGAGCGTTTACGCACTACGTCCGATTCGTGTCAGTTCTGAATCCGTGAAATGACGGTTCGATATGTCACAGGTGTCCAAAATGTCATTTCGTATTTTCTCGGATTAGAATCTGACTTAGTGCATATGCGACATCCGAATTGGGTCCGAGTTTTCTATAGTATGTTTTTTTGAAGACGGACTAAAATGAAGCAGGTAGTGATTGCAGCCGAACTTGTTTCATGTGAATCATCTTCGATTCCTTTTTCATCCACTTACTGAGCACAAGTTCATTTGATTTGTCAAGTATTGTAAGTTCATACATACATATCCTGTATTTATAACTATGTTTATGAAAAATACAAACAAGTTTTTAATTTTAATTCAATATACGATATATATACATATATATATTATACTCGTGTGTGTGTATATATATATATATATTATACTCGTGTGTATATATATATATATATATATATATATATATATTTTACAACACCATATTTAATAAGATAACCTCAAAAAATGTTTCTCCTGCAAATATTTTTTTTATCTTATTGGCAATGTTTCGGGGATGAACAACCTTTGCCTGTCCTTAGTGTTTATTCGATTTTTTATTTTAATTTGTTATTTATAAACACTAATACTTATAAGTAGAAGTGTGAGTAATTAATTGCTACAATACTATTAGTTTAATAATTTATTAAATGTTTTTTTATTGAGAATAATAAAATTAAAATAATAAATTGGATAATTGTTAAATAGTGTTAAATTATAATGAACTGACAAATGAAAAGTCAGTTTTTGGTCAATAGGGATGGTTTCATCCCCACCAGTGCATCACCGCGATTTTCTTCATTCGGTTTCTGACAGCTGTCGTTATGAATGTATTCCCTGCCATGTATGCGTCGTGTTGTTGAGTTTTTGTTTTTTATTGTTAAGTTTTCGTTTTGTGTTATTTTTTTGTTAAGTTTTGGTTTGACTCTGTTGTTACGTTTGTGTTTGCTTGCGTTGGTGTGAACATAACTACAATGGAGGCTGAACCAGGTCCTTCAACAAAAAAGAGACTCTTTCACCGTAGAAAAAAAGATCACTATATTTATGACACAAAATGTTTCTAAACAGTTTTGTAAATTGCTCAAACCAAAAAGGTATTATTCCATTATAGTTTATTAGTCGGAATACAGTGGAACCTGTTAATCATCGAGTATATAACCAGAAATAGAGACTAAATGTCATAATTTGTTTGAAAACTATTCTGCCATATCATTCCCATACCATACCGAGTTCGAAACAATTGACGGGTGTCGTCAACTGTTACACTTCAAATCGGTTTATTTGAAGTGAAACAGTTGACTAACTGTTATAGTTGTTGTCGTAGTTGAGTTAACTTGAGCTTTGCTATAATGGACGAAAATTACATATTTAATATTCAATTACCGATGAAATGTGATTCCGTTTGTTTTGTAATTAGATGTTTTGCTGTTTTTCCCACACTACCGAATATAACAAGCACGCCATTGTTAGAGATATTATCTTTATTATAATAAATTCAGAATATTTTTTGGAATATACGGAGACGTACGCACTGGTCAGTAGTTGACCTGTCTACATTTCTGTGGAAACGGGAATTGATATTTATAAGAGCTGTATCGCTAATGTGTTACCAGGAATATATGGACCTTAATTCGTCTCTATTTCTGGTTATGTACGTGATGTTGTTAATAAACGAACGTCGAAAAAAGGTTTATGGTCTATGAGATGTCAGTTTGACAGTGACAGTTGTTTGTTTACATTTTTTGACTTCGACTACATCTCAGAGTTTAGTAATTATAAGAACGTCATAACTTTCATAATTCAGTAATTTTTATCTTTTTTCACAATCTATCGATAACAACCACATAACTATTTAAAATTTTATGAGAACTGGAAACAAGATTCGCTCTGGACCTGTTGAAGGGAAAAGTGTCGCTTTTATTTTGACTTTCAATTATTTTGTGAAATCTAGTTTAAAGTGGAATAGGATAGTGCTATTGTGCCTTAATCGAAGATTAAAACGCGAAATTATATGAATCTCGAAGTAATATACCCGTATCGGCCCGTTTTAAGGAATCCCGAGTCCCGAGAAAAGAAAACTGGAATCAAACTGACTTCCAAAAAGACAAGACTTATATAGTAGTAGATTTGCATAGTTTCGGGTTCGCAACGAATACGAATAGATGCAGTGCGCAAACGCGCTAACAGTGGAGCGTCGTGTAAACATCGTGATGAAATTTGCATGTCGAAGATGTCATAAGAGTGTGAAGTATGACTATACTAACTAACCTAAAACCTAGCAAAATAAAACAAGTATGGTAACTCCGTACAAATTAACAGCGCGTCTTGAATATGTGCGCGACCGCCGCGCGCCGTGTACGGACATGCACATTCGCATATTAGTAAAAGGCGCGGTGGGATCACGAGTGCATCGCGATATTATGCGGTTTTTGTAGTTTTAGTTTTTACTTATTTTACATTATCGTATTTAATATTGACGTATTTCTAATTACTTTCATGTATTGAACTGTATTAAAAATGTTCTACTGACCTTTTTTCAATAATTTATATGAACCATTTGTTTTGTTTTTATTATTTCTTTTTATCTCGTTTGTCGCGTTCAATTTTTACGATGATAAAATTACTGTGCAAAAGTGTAAAAATGTTTTAAAATCAGCTGTGACATTGCGGCTATGTTTGGATATTCCTTTGCAGCCATTGGTCGCGGCACTCGCGATGCGACAAAAATATGACGTCACGATGCTTGCCATGTGAGCAATTGTGATAAAATTTTAAAATGCTGGTTTACCACTCGAATTTGACAGCTAAATGTGGTTATGACAGCCTTATCGCGGCAGCATGCTACGCCCTCATTTCCGCTCCATTGATACAACTTTCGTGCTTCTTCTGCCAAGTGTAGAAACCATCATGCATCGCCAGTCGTGCCTTTTTAGACATTTTACGGATGCTCATGAAGGCATAAGAAATAACATATTAATTAATCATTTAGACAGTGTAGATGGTTAGTATTAGATAATTAATTGATATGCCAGTGTATACAATAGTGACATAACTAACCGGTTTAGTCGGTGCAGGCTGATGATGCGCGGCATGGTCCCGTTGAGCTTGCAGCTGTTGCAAGCGCTGGTACTGCTGCTGTCGCTGCAATTGCAATTGATGCAGCTGAGATTCTACGGCTCCTCCTGCAGCCCCGCCAGCACCCACAGGACTTGCTACTCCTGCCCCGCCAACTGATAAAGAAAGATTAATTTTAATAATCAATTACTACAGTACTACACAGTGAAACTGAGAAATTTGTGACGTTTGGTTGACGCCGAATTAACACTAAAGTTTTAAACTTCGTAAATGGCAAAATTTAAATATCAACCGGAATCTTATTATATAAACGTATGTACATTGGCCTTCATATGAATTTGTGAAGAAGACTGTCAAGAATAACGTCATTTTTATTCCTCATGTTAATGTTGTGTTTGTCACAATTTTTGATAAAAAAACTACATTTTCATAAATGTGCTATGTTGTTCTATATTCATAAATGTTCAGTTCTTTAAACTTATCTTTCAAAGACACTCTGGGGCCCAGATTGTAAATTGCCCTAACCGCAACACTAACTGCAGGACCAAGATTTTATTAATATCCGCGGTATTACCCCAAAGCAAAATGCCGTATGTCAATAAACTGTGAAAATAGCTGAAGTAAAGTTTATTTAAATATAAACGTTACTACCGTATCGACCCCTCCTACGTGAAGTATCGTATGTCAAAATTGCCAAGTTTACAGGGGAGCGTTTTAAAGTTCTGAATTCACTGAAATGAACATAACACGTGACTTTAGCATTTCTCAGTTTATTCGGCAAAGCTCGTTACTCACATAGAGTATTATAAAATCCTAGATATCGGTTAGATGATCTATTAGATGAGCGCTCTACGTAGGAGGGGTCGGTATTTTCTCATTTGTTTTGTTCCGACTTCAAAAAAAAGAGGAGATTCTCAATTCGACTTTTTTTTTATATGTATGTTACGCGATTACTTCGACATATTTGTGAACCGATTTTGATGATTCCTTTTTGATCCAGTTTTTTTTCCAGTGATCCATACGTTCACTCCATCCGTTCAAATTTGAGGAAAATATTCCAACTTTAAGAGAGGCGAATTCAGGGTTCGACAAACTTTTGAGGTCGGTTTAAAACAAAAACATATTTAAACAAAAAACTCACAATTAAACTCTTCAAAATCTAATAGAGAATCCATTTCACTACACAAACGAACCCGCCAACTAAGTTACAATGACTTTATAAGGTCGACCATATAGGCGTTCAGGAATGTTCTAGACCTCTAGAAGACACTTGTTGTAAGCGAGAGTAGGGACATATCACTGAATACATTTCTTTATACTGCTTGGGGAGTTAGATATAGTTTGTTTGATGTAAACTAATCTAAAAAATAAAAGTAAAATAAAAAATAATAATAAAAACACGCGTTATACAACAATTTATTCCAAAAAATTAATGAAGTCACCATTTGAGTAGCAGTAAAGCACCTTACCTTATTACTTACGTCTTAGAGCGACGGGCGCAGTGACAGTGCCCCCCAGATTTTTGCGATTTAAAGTTTTGAGTGGCTCTGAAACTGCTGTGGCGTGTCACTTACCACCAGACGGACGATTTGTTCGTTTCAGTTGCAGTGCCACTCAGAGCTTTAAATCGCAAAAATTTGAGGGACATGGCGCCTGTCACCCTGACACATAAGTCGACATGTCCCAGGTGCCTGTAATTTCACCAGCACCCGTACGCTTCAAAACCGGAACGTAGTAATGCTCACAATGCTGCGTGACGGCAGTACTTCCCTCGACGAACTCTTTCACAAGAAGCTCTACTGCTATTTAACGCCTCAGCATCAGAACAGGATTTACCTTACATGAGAGTGGAGTATTGAAAATCGAACTCAAAGTTGTGTGGCATACAGTATACCTCAGACGTCTACCTGTCATCTACTATTCTGTAATTTAAGTCGTTGATACTCAGTTTTGAGGTGAGACGGTGCCGTAGTGTTAAAAGGACGATAATCAATATTATCGAATTTGAAAATCTTTAAACGATCATTAGAACCTGAACGGACTACATCGAAACGCATTGAAATTGTAATGCCAGACAAAAAGCGGCACAACAACTACGGTTTATAACTATGTATGAATGAATCTGAATATCAAAACGTCCAACTAATGCTGCCTCACATTTGGCGATAACATGTGACTTTTCGATTACATTATAAGATGGGTTAGATTGATGATGAGTTTTTATTGTAATATTGTCATCATTCGTTGTAAGAAGTTATAAAAATACAGGCCTAATCACAGAACAATAAATACAGTAGAAGTGTTTAGCGACGTGTCACGTGTGTCAACTGTACGCGGAATTCCACGTACTTAATCTCAGTCCGCCATTTTCGCCTTCTACGTTATGGTTGTGTCAATTATCTCCTTCAAAACCTCTAAAATCGTAGAAAAAAACCTTATTTTGCTACTTACGACTGGAGTCGCTGTAATATTATCCATGGTGCTGTCTCCGTGACTTTGACTGCCTCCGTGGCCGAACGGTTACCATGCCGGACTGCCACGCAGAGGTCCCAGGTTCGATTCCCGGGCCGGAAGAAATATTTATATGGCCTACATTTATTTCTCTCGTGAGTTTGGATGTAATTTGTGGTTGTCTATGTGTGTGTCCATAGCACTCGCGACACTGAGTTTCCCTAGTGCAGGCTATGTTGAGTGTGTGCATTATTAAAAAAAAAAAAGTCTCATATCATCTGTTTACAGTAATACATTTTTTGTTATAAGAAATGAAAGTAAACCTCATACCGTTACAATAGGTCGATTTTTTTGGAGAACGTTAATTAGGCATTAATCGTTCGTCTTTCAGCTATTGCTGCTAGGTGGCAGCACATTGAATGAAATTTCAATTATAAAGTCAAAACGTCGTTATTTGCAATAATAGGTATTGAACTTTCAACGATATGCCAACTGTGTAAAGTTTACATTATATTAGCAGCCCAGAATTTGTTACATGTTATTCAATTAGAAACTACGACCAATTATTATCAAGTGTGAGTTTTGGCGACAGCGGTTCTGATAGTAATCGAGGCGTTAGGTCCTTCCATTGTTTTTGTCTTCCGTGGGCATAATATTAGGGGCTAAAATATGACACTGCCGTCCTAAAGTTCTCACCACTTTGAAATAAAAAAAAATCTTACGGAGTTCTTAGGTTTTCGCAGTTGTTACACGTTGCAAAAGCAACAACTTTCTTGGATTTAAAACGCGTATATTTGTTTTTTCATAGAAACCAACGGTTCACGCCCTTTAGAAGTCCCAAGGTCGAGGCTAAATAGCGATTTAAAAGCGAAGAAATTTTCAAGATTAAAGAAGAAGAGAAGAAATGTTAGAAGAAGAGTTCATCATCATCATCAAATCAGCCGGAAGATGTCCATTGCTGAACATAGGCCTCCTCAAAAATTTCCAGACCAGCCTATCGGACGCGACGTGCATGAGTGGAAGTGGAAAGTTAAGTGGAGTTATTTTACAACAAATATATGACTATCACGGTGGTAAGATATCGCGAAATTCAATAAAAGAATGAAACAAAGAATAAAAAAAATAAAGAAATAAATAAATAAAATCGTGTGTTTTAAATTTAGAATTTTGGCGTATTTGTTTTCGTGTTGGTTAATTTATATGCATTTGTTTTAAAATCGTACACAGATACTGCTAAAATAAGTGTAATTTTTTAATAAGAATTCCGACGTGGCACTACATTTTATCTATTTCTACATTACAACGCCAGAGCACTTATTGCCCAACAAACCATCCTCCTCATATGGGCTTCTTGGGATTTCCGGATTACCTGCGCTTTATGAAAATGGGACTTTTTTCGGATCTAAATTTGTGTATATTTTTTTTAGTAAACGAGTAGCAGGTGGAATAAAGGTCTTAGCCACCCTACATATTTACTATAAATGTCACAGACGTATGTTCTGCATTCACATTTTTAAATATCTGTTTCCGCGTCCGCGATCCCAATTTATCGATGCAGAGTTTTCTGCGGATACTAATGTTTTGCAGGTCACAAGTAGAGCCAAATAGGGATCGAGAATTCGGTAGCTTGTGGTGTAGGCAACGATATGAGTGTCGCATATCTATCTATATCGATGCATATATTTCGGTATGGATATATCACGAAAAGTCGAAGTCAGCTCAAAGGGACTCCGTTTTATGGAGAATAGACAAGCCTGCGTTTTGGTAGCGTTAAATTTGACAAGATTGGCGTCGCCCCAATCGGAGACTGCCTTGAGTGTCAAATCCAAACGGCTAACCATGGAGTCACGACAAGACTGGATTTCCTTTCCACTGACCCTTGCATTTGTCAAGTATCTATCTACAACTGTGTTGTCATCAGTCATATGTTCGGAAGAGTAGCCTTCTAAGACCACTCGAATCGAACGTTCGCTCAAGAAATTCGAGATCTAATTGCAAAAGTCAGTGGGAAGCCCATAACATGGCAGCTTACTTAAAAGGTTTGCGTGCCAGACCCTGTCAAAGGCTTTAAGAATATACAAAGACACTGCAAATGCTTCATCTTGTTTTTCTATAAAAAAAAACAAGATGAACCATACCAGTCTCAAGTGAGAGGCGGTACAGGCGTAGGCGTGTGAGAACAGGAGACAACTCAGGCGCACAGTTACGTAGGACTAGTGCTGGAATTCCATCTGGTCCGCTAGCTTTATTCACGTCTAGATTCCGCAGAGTTCTAATAATTGGCGCCATAGTGAAGCCAGTCTGAGATGAGATCCAGAGGCGAACACTTTGCAAAGAGTGAGGCAAAAAAAATTGCCTTGTCTTCTGCAGTATAGGCCAGCGTGCCATCCGGCCTCAGCAAAGATGGCATAGGTGGGCGACAAAAGTGACTTAGTGACTTTATATTCAAAGATGTTTTGTTTAAAAAATTAATTTGTCAATTTCTGGCGTTGCCGTTTTCACTACGCATACGTAATACGGAAGCGTGCGCGTGTTTACGATCGGAGCGCCTGATCGAAGTAATAAAAATTTGATCACTATAGAAAATACGTTATTTTATTTTTTCCTTTGAAAAAATATTTGTATAAAGGTTTTTGTAAAAACGAACACCGTTATACAAATTCGTTTTAGGGTCGCGCTCGCGCCGCTGAATCGCCGCCGCCGCCGACACTTTTTCGTCGGCGCGCCGTCGCCGGTTGGTCTATTAACGGCACTTATATCTACTTTGTTTTTTATTAATTTGTTTTTTACTTAAACTAATAACTTTGATCCACATTTATTCTAAAAGAAACTATTTCCCGTCACACATCAGCATCTGCTGATTTGATCGATAAAAATTTCGCATCTACAGATGTCATAATATGCGACATCTTTACTACCAAACATAATTTCCACAAATCAGATCTACAAGGAAAACGTTACGCGAAACAGTCGAAAAAAATGGCCTTCATATTTACATATTCAAGTAAATATTTTGATAAAATTAATGATATTTATTGTAAGTTTTTCTTGAATTCTTTTATAAAACTGCAATGTCATACTAACCCTATATATATATACATGTATGTATTGTTAAAACGGCGGATTCATGTCGTGCTGAAGGTACGTTGTTAAAACTTAGCACAGTAAAATAACTCTAAACGCACATAGATACGGCTCAATATAATAAGACAAATGATTTAAACTTGTTATTTTTTTATAATATCAAGTGACGGGATGAATAATTCATATGCCTGAAGGTAAGCTACATGCCTGTCCATAATAGTTGCAGTGCCACTCAAGAGCATCAAATCGCAAAAATCTGATGGGTACCGCCACTCTCCCTGAGACATATGTTGATAAGTCTCATGTGCCTGTAATTTCACCAGCACCCTTACCCTTCAAAACCGATACAC